GAGGAAACAGGCCCACTGGCAACTCCCCACGAGCAGGACCTGCACCCCAGGGTGCTGCAGGATGGGGAGAGGAGGCAGGTCCTTGTCCCCTTTGCACCCTCTGCCCAGCGTGGGGGACACATGGACAGATGCTGCATGGCCCGTTATTCCAGGGGCGGGCCAGGAGGGAGCCATGTTCGTGCACACCCGCTCCTATGAGGACCTGACCAGCCCCGAGGACGGGGCGGCCGCGGCGCGGAGCCCGGAGGAGCGGCGGGGGGAGCCGGGGGAGCAGAGCAGCATGGAGCAGATCAGCAAGGACTTCAGCGAGCTGAGCACGCAGCTCACGGGCATGGCCCTCGACCTGGAGGAGGAGATGAGGCCGGGCAAGGAGGGGAAGCTGGAGCAGTCCCCGCAGACCCCCCGCCACGACTCGGTGCTGTCAGGGAAGGAGGAGGAGGACGTGACCATGGACGCCTGGCGCATGCACCGCAAGCACGTCTTCGTGCTGAGCGAGGCGGGCAAGCCCGTGTACTCCCGCTACGGCTCAGAGGAGGCCCTGTCCAGCACCATGGGCGTCATGATGGCCCTGGTGTCCTTCCTGGAGGCCGAGAAAAATGCCATCCGGTCCATCCATGCAGGTATGGCCCTGGTGGAGGGAAATTGGGATGGGGGGTTCACGACCTGCCTATCCATGCACCTGCTGCCCTGGGCCATGTTAGCTGTCCCCAGGGGCAGATTGGTGCTCGGGGGAGAGCTATAGCCCTGGGAAGCCAGGCTTACAGGTCTGTCCCTGGTCCCCCCGGGGACTCCCTCCCAAGCAGATGGCTACAAGGTGGTGTTCGTGCGGAGGAGCCCGCTGGTGCTGGTGGCAGTGGCGCGCACCCAGCAGTCGGAGCAGGAGATCGCCCACGAGCTGCTCTACATCTACTACCAGATCCTGAGCCTGCTCACCTGGACCCAGCTCAACCACATCTTCCAGCAGAAGCAGAACTATGACCTGCGCCGGCTCCTGGCCGGCTCCGAGCGCATCACCGACAACCTGCTGGACCTCATGGCCCACGACCCCAGCTTCCTGATGGGCGCCGTGCGCTGCCTGCCCCTGGCTGCCAGCGTCCGGGACGCCGTCAGCAGCAGCCTGCAGCAGGCCAAGGCCAAGAGCCTGGTCTTCTCCATTCTCCTGTCCGGGAACCAGCTGGTGTCTCTCGTGAGGAAGAAAGATCAGTTCCTTCACCCCATTGACCTCCACCTGCTCTTCAACCTCATCAGCTCTTCTTCCTCCTTTCGGGAGGGTGAAGCCTGGACTCCTATTTGCCTCCCCAAGTTCAACTCCAGCGGCTTCTTCCATGCCCACATCTCCTACCTGGAGCAGGAGATGGACCTGTGCCTGCTGCTGGTCTCCACGGACCGTGAGGATTTCTTCACAGTGTCCGACTGCAAGCGGCGCTTCCAGGAGCGGCTGCGGCGGCGCGGGGTGCACCACGCCCTGCAGGAGGCCCTGCGCACCCCCTTCTACAGCGTGGCCCAGGTGGGCATCCCTGACCTCCGGCACTTCATCTACAAGTCCAAGAGCTCTGGGCTCTTCACCAGGTGAGGCCCCAGGGAACCAGCAGGCTGAGGCTGTGGCATGTGGAATGGGCCAAGCCTCTTCTCCAGGGGGCTAACGGGGTGCTGTGTTCCTGCAGCCCTGAGATTGAGGCTCCCTACGTGCAGGAGGAGGAGAAGGAGAGGCTTTTGGGGCTCTACCAGTACCTGCACAGCCGGGCCCACAACTCTTCACGGCCCCTGAAGAACATCTACTTCACGGGCCCCCGAGAGAACCTCCTGGCGTGGGTAAGGCTGTTAGTGGGTTTTGGTGAGCCTGTCTTTCCTGGTTTGGCGTGGTGGTGGGACACAGCACCAGCTCCATGGTCCCCTGGGAGGCCCCCAGCCTGTTTTAGGGGTGAGCTTGCCCCAGTGTGAGGGAGGGACGGGCAGGGATAGCAGCAGGAGCTGCAGGAGAATTTCGGCACCAAGGGCTGTGCCATGTGCAGTCATGAACTCGGTGCTGTGGAGAAAACCCACTCCAGGGGCAAACTCCGGGGTTTGGCCCTCCCACTTCTGAGTAAACCAGATGCCACCCATTTAGGGTACCACCTCATGTCCCTGCACTGGAGCCCCTGTGCCTTTTCCCAGTAGCCCGGGGTGGGAAGATGCAGTGCCAGCTCTAAGTGGTGCACAGTCCTGTTCCCAGCATGTATCCCATTCCTTCTCCCAGGTAACCAATGCCTTTGAGCTCTATGTATGCTACAGTCCCCTGGGGACCAAGGCTGGTGCCATCAGTGCTGTCAACAAGCTCATGAAGTGGATCCGCAAGGAGGAAGATCGACTCTTCATCCTCACACCCCAGACGTACTGATGGGCATCACCCAGGGTGTGGTGCCAGCTGGGAGAGCCCCCGCTGTGCTGGGGAGCCCATTCCCAGGGATTCCCAGGCCATGTGTCCGGGGGAGAGGGCATGGTGGGACCCCAGAGCACAGGGAAACCCTCCCCCTGGGACTGTCCAACCTGGATGTAAGAGGTGGGGTGCACGGGGGAAGGGAAAGGAGCGAGCAGGACTTTCTCAACTACAGGCAGTGCCCCAGCTGGGGGGCTGCCCTTCCTCTGTGGTCCCCCAGCTCTGTCCCTGGAGTGGGGCTGCTGGTACCCCGGGCTACTGGAGGGGAACAGAGGAGCAGACCCCCCAGGTCCTGCTGCCTGTGCCTGTGTCTCCTCTGGCATCCTGTGGCTGTGCCAAGGGTGGGGGTCCCCAGAGGAGAGGTGGCAACACTCAGGAGACACCAATGCTGCTGTGCCCGCAGATGGCGGGTGACACCACCCAGGCAGGGGACAGGGCTGGCCTGGGGCACACACTGCTCTCCCTACCCTGGGGGAGCTGGACCCCCCAAGTGCCAGGGAGTCTCTGGCAGTCCCATTGCAGGTTTGCCCCCTTGGCATCTGTACGAGCCCTGACCCTTCTCACTGTGGCTGTGAAAAGGATGTCCCTCGGGATGCTGACAGGCAGGGTGGGTCAGCCTGCCTCAGCTGGGACAGCAGGGTCCCCTCCCCATGGGGACACAGAGCAGCTCCAGAGAGATCTGGGGTGCCGAGGTGTCCATCAGGGTGCTTGTGGGCTCTTGCTGGCCCTGGGTAGTGAACCCTAAAGGGGCAGCTCAAGCACAGCCCCTTGGAGACCCCACTGGCACAGGGCCCTGGTGCCCCCCAGCCCAAGGAGGGTCTTCCCCTTTGGCACAGGAGCACCTGCCCCCAAACCCAGCCCCTTGAGCCAGTTATGCTGAGGTTGCTGCACAGGGGCCACCTCCTCCCCAGACATCCCCAGGCACTGGTGTGGGGCTGAGCATCTGTGAACGGCCCCACTCCATTTTCTGGGGCTGTCTGGGTAGTGCTGGGGCAGGTGTTTGAGGATGGCACTCTGACAGCAAGGGAGCTGGGAAGAGCCTGGCAGGGCTAGTGCAGGGATCTGCTCCTGTGTTTATCCTCCTGCCAGAGTGTAATCGCTTGTCTTTGCTCATAAACATTATATGGACCCTAAGTCAAGACTTGTCGCATTCGTTTTTGTCCGCTGGAGTAGGGGGATGACCAAGCTGAGGGGGAAGTTTGGTTCAAGATTGCATACGGTTCAGTCCAGCCCTGGGGACCCGCTGGGAGCCAGGAAAGCTGGCCGGGAGCGGCGTGAGGCCTCCGGGGCTGTGCTGGCAGGAGGCGGCGCTGGCTGGAGGCTGGGAGCGGCGAAATCCCCGGGCTGAGCTGGCCAGGGCCAGCTCATGTCGAAACCGAGCCGAGAGGCGCAGCCGGAGGAAGGAGCTGTTGGGTAAGGCCCAGGGCCAGCGGAACTGCCGGGCCTTGCACAAGCGGGGCGGGAGCCTGGGAGGGCCGGGACTGGCCAGGTGGCAGGGGCAGGAGGGCCCCGTTTCGGAGTGTTCAGGACCAAAGTCCCCGGCTGCGTGAGACAGCGCCCTGCTCAGCTGAAGGAAAAATCCATGTGCAAAGGGACCCGCAGCCCCAGGGTCCGAGGGTAGCAGGGCACTTGGAGGGCAAATCCACGTATGGACCGGGATGTAAAGCATCTTGCATCCCTGGAAGTGCAGTGCTGGCATTTCCTGCCACCGCGGGCAGCTGGGGAGGAAAGGGACATGAGAAACAGAGTGGGCACAACAGAATTAACCCCCACTGCTGTCCTCGCAAAGCTGTGGCTGCCTCAGCCCTGCTCCTGCTTCCCGGCTTGGAACCCCGTTGCTGAGCCTGCCACACCCCCCAAAGGCTGCCCTGTTCGCCTGGAAGTGAGCTGCAAACGCGGTGCCAGAGTGGGAGCTTTGGGGAAGTGGCAATTTCGATTCCACGTGTCAGGGTGTCGCCCTGTGGCAGGGGGACTGGAATCTGTGACCGAGGGTACCGACATGCAGGATCCCACCCGCGCCCCGGGATGCCGGCAGCCGCCTCCCAGCCATCCGACGGCCACCCCGACCTGCGGTGGGCACCCCAGGAGCCGTGCCTGCTCTGCCCCCGCTTACCGATCAGGGGCCCCTGCTCCCACCCGTTTCCCTCTGGGGCACCGTGCCCACCCATGTCTGTCGCCCCGAGGTGCCCAGCGGGCACTCCGACCTGCGTGTTTCCCCTGGGCACCCCCGTATCCCCGGGCTGCGTGTGGCGGTGCCGCCCTCGGGGAGCCCCGGGCGGTGCAGGGGCAGGACCCGCCCTCCCTGTCCCGCCCCGGCCCGTCCCACCTCGCCCGCTCCGTCCCGGCCCCGCTCCACTCCGTCGGCCCTGCCCTGGCACGGCACGGCACGGCAGCGCCCAGGTGAGCGCCACGCCGCCTGGCACCGCGGGATCGGACCGCGCCGCACGGACGGGGGGTAGGGGGGCAGCCGGACCTAACGAGGACTCCAGACCCGGTGAGCCGCGGCGGGGCCGGGGGTGGAGACCGGGCATACGTCGGGGTTTCTCTCACGGGAGGCTGGTGGGACCTTTGTCCCAGTCCCGCGGGGATCCTCGGTTCCTGTTGCTGTCCTGGGGGGCTGGCAGGGTACCCATCCCAGTTCCTGGGAGGGGTCATTGCAGGGCAGAGATGCCCCAGGGTGACAGGCGGGGTCTGGAGGTGGCAGAAGGCAGGATTTACCCCCCTGTCACAGGGAGCTTGGCTTCACCCACCCCTCACAATATCTGGGGAGAGGTTTGGTGTGGCTGATCCTCCCCTGGTGGCATCCCTCGTCATCTGGCCCCTGGAGACACCAGCACACCCGGCTGTGGCAGTGCCCAGGGTCCTTGCCTAAAAGCAGTGGGTAAAACCCTTCCTCCTTTATTTTGGCAGATGCAATGGTAGCCCATCCTCTGTTTGTCCTGACCCCACTGGGTGCTGAGCACTGTCAGTAACCCCACAGCAGTGGCACTACACAGTATGGGCCTGTTGTGCCTCCTGTGCCTCTGGCTGGTGCTCGCCCTGGCCCCTCTGAGTGCCTGGTGCCTGGCAGTGCCCCCTCATCCCATACAGCTCCACCAGGAACTTCTCTGTCCCCTACACGCTGCCCAGCCTCGACGCCGGCAGCCCCATCCAGAATGTTGCCGTCTTTGCCGACTCTGACGGCACAGTTGCCATCTTTGTGGCCGTCCGTAACCGCATCCTGCTGGCCAGCGCCGAGATGCGCCTCCTCTCCATCCTTGTCACCGGCCCAGTGGGTAGTGCCAAGTGTGAGATCTGTCGCCTGTGCCCGGCCACCACAGATGGCCCCGAGGACACGGACAACGTCCTGCTGCTGCTGGACCCGCTGGAGCCATGGCTGTACAGCTGTGGCACGGCACGGCATGGGCTGTGCTACCAGCACCAGCTGGAGGTGCGGGATGGGAAGGTGACCATCACAGAAACACACTGCCTGTACTCGGCCACGGGCAACAGCCCCACACTGTGTCCTGACTGCGTGGCCAGCCCCCTGGGGACCAGTGCCACTGTGGTGGCCACCTCCTACGCCTCCTTCTTCTACCTCGGCTCCACCATCAACAGCAGCGTGGCAGCCCAGTACAGCCCACAGTCGGTGTCCGTCCGCAGACTGAAGGGCACCTTGGACGGCTTTTCGGGTGATTTCCAGTGGCTGACGGTGCTGCCACAATACCGCGACAACTACACCATCCACTATGTGCACTCCTTTGCCGACGGGGACCACGTCTACTTCCTCATGGTGCAGCCGGAGCGGCCGGGCTTGCCCGTGTACCACACGCGCCTGGCACGGCTCAGCACTCATGAGCGCGACCTCCGCCGCTACCGCGAGCTCGTCCTCGACTGCCGCTTTGAGTCCAAGCGCCGGCGCCGGCGGCGCAGCGGCGAGGAGGATGACGAGCGGGACATTGCCTACAACGTGCTGCAGGCAGCCCACACTGCCCGCCCTGGTGCCCGCCTGGCCCGTGACCTCGGCATCAACGACACCGACACGGTGCTCTTCGGCGCCTTCGCCGAGAGCCAGCCGGAGAGCCGGATGCCACAGGAGAACTCGGCTGTCTGCGCCTTCCCAATCCGCCTCCTCAACCAGGCCATGGAGGAGGGCATGGAGAAGTGCTGTGGCATCGGGCAGCAGCCTCTGCTGCGGGGGCTCAGCTTCTTCCAGCCAGTGGAGTACTGCCCGCACAACGTGAGTGCTCTGCCCTGCGCCGCGTCTGGCCCGAGAGGCCTGGGTGTCAGCTGGGCTGTGGGGAGAAGGGGGCAGCATGCTGGGAAGTGCTGATAGACCAGGGTGGATGGTGGGGTGGGGTAGGGCAGGGGGAGAGCAGCGTCACCCAGGTGTGAGTCAGCCCAGCAGCCACCCACCACCTATTGCAGGGGCCGCTGTGCTCCAGCAGGCCTGGCTGCACCGAGGAGACAGGGTGCTGGTGGGGATCCGGTTGAACTCCCCACCTCACAGACATGTGTCCCAGCACATGGGCACACTGCTGCATGCCCTGCACTGGGCTAACAGTCCCTCTCCTGGTGTGGCCTCCCCAGAAGCACCGATTCCAGCCCCCGTGGTGACTGTCCCTGGATCCCAGCCAACCTCTTCAGCTTGTTTATGTGGAGGAGGGACAGGGAAGCCGCGGGGCCTCAGTGGTTCCCAGAGTGGATGTGTGAGGTGCTGTGAGGTGCTGGCTGCTCCTGCCTTGTCCCCTGGGCTCAGCCACCGCCTTCTCTGGGCAAATAAACCACAGGCGGAAGTGCAATTAGTCACCGGGGTTCCTCGTCTGCCGCAGCCGCGGGGCAGGAACACCGTGTCCCAGGTACAAGCCCCGGCATGGCCAGGACACAAATGGGTGGGCGCCCCAGCAGGGCCCCCTTGTCCCAGCATGTGACACGAGTTTTGGTATTCTCAGCCTGGAGCAGGGCAAGGTGCAGCCAAATCCCCTCCTCTTCCCACATGGAGCAGACAGCTCACTGCCGCTGACTCACTCTGCAGCAGGGCGAGCCCAGGGGGGACCCCAGCCCCGTTCATGGGGGGTGTCCAATAGGGACGTTGTGGCTCCCAGTGTCCCCCTTCAGCCTCACCCCCCCACCGAGCTCCAGGGGTCAGGGAGGGTTGGGATTGGGGTATGCATCCCATGGTGCCGGAACCCGATAAACACATCCAGATGGAGTGGGAGGGGAGGGCAGGATCTGACGCCACACAGGGGTTGCGGGAGTGGCTGCGGATGTTTTTTTTTTCCCCAAAATTTTCCCAGCCTGGAGGGGAACTTGGGCAGTCTGGTGCTGCCCCAAAATGTCTCACAGCTGGAGCTGGTGCCCACTTGTGAGGGTGTAGGGAAGTCGGGTTGCCAGGGCCAGTTTCAAGGCACCCACTCCGTGCTTGGCTGTAGGTGAACCTCTCGGCACCAGTGATAAACACCAGCTGCTGGGACCAGCCCACCCTCGTTCCTGCCGCCTCCCACAAGGTGGACCTGTTCAATGGGCAGCTGACCGGGGTCCTCCTCACCTCCATCTTCGTCACTGCCCTGGGGGATGTCACTGTGGCCCACCTGGGCACAGCAGAGGGACGCATCTTCCAGGTGAGATGAGGGGCAAGGTGGGGTGGGGGTCCCGTGAGCCATGGGGTGCACTCAGCCTCACACTCTGCCCCACTGCAGATGGTGCTCCAGCGTTCCAGCTCCTACCTCCTGACCTTGGCCAACTTCTCCCTGGGGGAGTCAGGGCCGGTGCAGGGTGCCATGGGGTCGCAGAGCCACTCGCTGTTCTTCGCTGCGGGCACCAAGGTGAGTGGGGGGCCTAGGGGAAGTAGGACAGATGCTGAGCCCCATATGCCCCCCTCACCTCCACTCTCCATCCCCAGGTGTGGCGCCTGAACGTCACCGGCCCAGGCTGCCGCCACTTCTCCACGTGCCAGCGCTGCCTGCGTGCCGAGCGCTTCATGGGCTGCGGCTGGTGCAGGGGTGGGTGCACGCGCCGCCACGAGTGCGCCGGCCCCTGGGTCCAGGACAGCTGCCCACCCGTCCTCACCGACGTAGGTCTGCGCCGCTGTCCCCCTGCTCCCCACAGCTCCCGTGCACTCAAGCGGGGAGGGAGGTGGCAAATGGGGTGGCGTGTGGTGGGACCCGCTCCCCATGATGGGTGTTGTGTCCCTCAGGGAAGGGGTTTTCTGGACCCGCAACCATCACTGGTCAGGGCTCTCAGTGTCACATGTGCTTCTCCCACAGTTCCACCCCCGGAGTGCCCCGCTGCGGGGTCGGACACGGGTCACGCTCTGTGGCATGACCTTCCACTCCCACTGGGACCCCGACCCCAGCCGCAGACCCCCCGCTGCCTACCGGGTGACAGTGGGACAGCGAGGCTGCACTGTGCTGCCGCAGGAGAGTGGGAGGTACAAGTGTGTGCCGGTGCTGGGAGGGAACAGCAGCAGAGAGGGTTTGGGGGCTGTCCCCTGGCCTAGGCCTGACCCTCATCCTTGCCCTGCAGACCCCCGCCCTCCTCCCGCCGCAAGGAGTTTGTGAATGTGCTGGTGTGTGAGCTGGAGCCGGGGGGTCCAGCAGCAGCGAGGGGCCCGGCCAACGTGGTGCTCACTGTGGAGGAGCCCACCAGACCCTCTGGCTTCCATGTCCAAGGCTCCGCCACCCTTGGTGGCTTCATCTTCGTGGTATGATCCTGCACTGGCAGTCACCTCAGCTGCCCCCTGGCAGGGTTTGGGGGGTTTGGATCACCCCCCCCCCCCCATTCCACTGACCCCATCTCTGCTCAGGAGCCACACATCAGATCCCTGCATCCCCCGTTTGGCCCCCGGCGGGGTGGCACCCACCTCTCACTCCATGGCACCCACCTCTCTTCAGGGAGCAGCTGGAGGGTGATGGTCAACGGCTCCGAGTGTCCCCTGATCAGGCAGCCCAGGTATGCCCCTGCCCTGCCCCCACCAGCGGGCACAGTGGGGTCCCTGGCAGGGGAATCAGCACAGGGAACCCCTGCAGTCCTGCTGCCCCCCCCAACCACGGCTGCTGCATCCCCAGTGACAACGGGACAATTCAATGCACGGCTCCCACCGCCAGTGGCCTGGGTGCAGCCTTGGTGGCCCTGTGGATCGATGGGGAGGCATTCCCAGCCCCCCTGCCATTCCAATACCGCCCTGACCCCTCTGTGTCGGCCATCATCCCCAACTGCAGCTATGAGTAAGTCCATGGGCTCCCTTCCCTTGGGTGGGGGGACATTCCTGGCTTCCCACTGTGCTGGCTGGGCTGGATGAGCTGCTGGGGATCGCATGCACCCCAGGCACCACACACACCATGGGGACCACATGCACCCCAGGGACCACATGCACCCTGGGGATGATATATACCCTGGGGTCCTGATCCCTGCCCACCATAGGGGCTCGGTGCTCACCATCATTGGCACCCACCTGGACTCCGTGTATCGCGCCAAGATCCGCTTTGAAACCAGAGGCGTGACTACCAAAACCACAGTAAGCACCTGGGTGGGAGCCCATCACCCCCCAGCCCTGCCCTGCCCACCCCAATCCCCTGGTGGGCATCATTCCGTGCCAGTGCCCAGCATTCCCCTGCCTGCAGGAGTGTGAGGACCCGCTGGCACCGGAGCGGCTGCTGTGCCGCAGTCCAGCCTTCCCCTTAAAGAACAAGGCTGAGGTGGTGCTGGGGAACATGAGCGTGCTGCTGGATGGCGCTGATGGCCGCTGGCTCTTCCACCTCCACTACTACTCCTGGCCCGAGTTCTTCCCCTTGAAAAAGGAGGGCGGGCGCTTCCGCCTCAAGCCTGGCGATGATGAGATCAAGGTGCAAGTACGTGGGGCATTGTGGGGTGAGCCAGGGCAGGGGGTCCCACCGCCAGGACCCCCAGGCTTAGGGCTCTGTGTCTGGGCAGCAATTGGGCCTGAACGCCTTGGCCACCTGCATGAACATCACCATGACAGTGGGGGGCCGGGACTGCCACCCCAACGTCCTGATCAATGAGGTGACGTGCCGCCTGCCCCGGGAGCTAAACCTGCCCCCTGCTGGGGCCCCCGTGGAGGTAGGCATCCCCTAGATGGGCAACCACCCCCCCACATCCCCCATCCCATCCCTGCTGAGCCCCTGCTCCTCCAGATCTGTGTGAATGGCGCTTGCAAAGCACTGGGCTGGGTGCTGTCCCCCCCCACCTCACTGAACCTGGCTGCCAGCCTGGCCCTGGGCATTGGCATCACCTTCCTGGTCTGCTGCATCCTGGCTGCCGTGCTGCTCCGCTGGTGCTGGAGGAAGAAGCGAGGTGAGTGCCGTGCTCACCGGGCACACTGATGCCCCCCGGCCCCCTGCCACATTGCCCCCCACCCACCCCACTGCTGCCCGCAGGGACGGAGAACCTGGAGCTGCTGGCGCAGCCCGGCCGCAGCAACCCCCCTGTCACCACCCAGCGCCCCGGCGTCGACTACAGGGAGGTGCTGGGTAAGTGGGTGTCACAGGTGGGTGGTTGGGTGCTGGGTGCTGCCAGCCCTCACCCTACCTCTGCCTGTCCTGGCAGTGCTGAACACAGCAGGCACTCCCAGCCCCGTGGGGACCCACACACGAATCACCAGTGCCGGCGCTGGTGCCAGTGCAGCAGGCGGTGGATCCCCCATGCCCCTGCTCAGAGCCACATCCTGCTGCTTGGAGGACCTGCGGCCAGAGCTGTTGGAGGAGGTGAAGGACATTCTCATCCCCGAGGAGCGGCTTGTCACCCACCGTCACCAGGTCATCGGCAAAGGTGACTCTGCAGCCCGATTTGGCCGTGGCATCACCCGCTGGCTGTGTGCGGTGCCAGCTTTGTGCCACCTGTCCCTGCAGGGCATTTCGGCAGTGTCTACCATGGCACCTACTCGGACCCACTGCTGGGGGACCTCCACTGCGCCGTCAAGTCCCTGCACCGTGAGTAGCGCCCGCTCCCATGTGCTTTCCCGTGGCACGGCAGCAGAGCGCTCCACAGCTCAGCTCTTGGCAGGCATCACGGACCTGGAGGAGGTGGAGGAATTCCTGCGCGAGGGCATCCTCATGAAGAGCTTCCACCACCCCCAGGTGCTCTCGCTGCTGGGGGTGTGCCTGCCCCGCCATGGGCTGCCTCTCGTCGTCCTGCCCTACATGCGCCACGGGGACCTGCGCCAGTTCATCCGCGCCCAGGAGAGGGTAGGGGGGTACCCCGGGGGGCAGAGGGTGGTAGGGAACCAAGGTCACCCTGCTCACCGCTCCATCCCACAGAGCACCACAGTGAAGGAGCTCATAGGCTTCGGGCTGCAGGTGGCCCTGGGCATGGAGTACCTGGCCCAGAAGAAGTTTGTGCATCGGGACCTGGCAGCCAGGAACTGCATGTGAGTGTGGCTGTAACTGCCAGACCCCCACCATGGGGTTACCCTGTGGGCCTGGATGTGCCCAGGGGTCCCCACCTCAACCCAGTGTCCCGCAGGCTGGACGAGACACTGACGGTGAAGGTGGCTGACTTTGGGCTGGCGCGGGATGTGTTTGGCAAGGAATACTACAGCATCCGGCAGCACCGGCACGCCAAGCTGCCGGTCAAGTGGATGGCACTGGAGAGCCTCCAGACCCAAAAATTCACCACCAAATCGGATGTGGTAGGCACAATGCCTTTCCCTGTCCCCCATCCCCATCCCACCTGCATCTCCACAGCAGCTCTCTGCTCGGCAGTGGTCCTTCGGGGTGCTCATGTGGGAGCTGCTGACACGGGGGGCATCGCCGTACGCCGAGGTGGACCCCTACGACATGGCCCGCTACCTGCTGCAGGGGAGACGCCTGCCACAGCCCTCCCACTGCCCTGACACGCTGTGAGTGGGGCTGGGGGCGGGCAGGGTGGCGGGGTTGTCCTGGGGGACTGCCAGCACTGACTGGGGTGTCGGGGCAGGTACGGGGTGATGCTGAGCTGCTGGGCACCGGCGCCCGAGGAGAGACCGTCCTTCACGGGGCTGGTGGGAGAGCTGGAGCGTGTCCTGGCCACACTGAAGGGTGAGCACTATGTCAACCTGACTGTCACCTACGTCAACCTGGATTGGGGTCCTCCCTTTCCTCCTGCCCCACCGGGGCAGCTACCTGATAGCGAGGATGAGAGCAAGGACAACGAGGAGGAGGAGGAAGAGGAGGAGGAGGATGCATCTGTGTGCTAATGGGATGCCCTGCACTGGAGAGGCTCCTGGACCCCCATACACCGTGGGCACACTCCCCAGAGGAGGGATGTAGCATGCAGCCGGATGCTATGGAGCACATTCCCTATGGGATGGGTGCTAGGAGGCAGATGGGTGCTGTGGGATGCTCTCCCATGGCTCACACCCAGACCCTGCTGGGTGCTCCCCAGGCTTGGTCCCATGCCCCCCATGTTGGGGGCCTCAGTCCTGAGCTGACTGGGTGCTGGGGGACTCAACCCCACAGTGATGAGGCTGTGCTGTGGGGTTTGGGGCTCAGCCTCACAGTGGCAGATGCCGTGGAGGCCCAGGTGGAGCCCCACCAGGTGCTGTGGGGTAGCCTGGCCCTCCTAGGGCTCCCATGGCATTTTCAGCTGTTGGTTGCTCGAATCACTCATTAAAATGTAATTATATTTTTTCCCTGGCTGGGGCTGTGTCTTTGAGGGGGCCATGCCCAGATGGGCGGCACCCTTTCCCCCCTGCCCAGGGAGGGTATGGTCTTGCCACCACCCCCTGGGGGCACCCACCTTGCAGGGGGGGTGCAGGTGAGGGTCCACCCAGCGTTCCTGTGCCAGCCACGGGAGGGCACCTGCACACCAGTGCTGGCACTGTCCCCCGGTGCCCACCATGCTGGGGCTCCCCTGTGTGCCCTGTATCCCACCATGGCCCCCCGAGCTTGGGCTGTCTGGGAGGTTTTTCCTAAAAGTCCCCTTCCCAGCCATATCCAGCTCAGGGTCAGTGTGGCTGTGGGGTATGAGGTGGTGTGGGGAGCACTGTGCTCCTGGACATGGGGTGATGGTGTCCCTGGGGTGCAGCTACCTGGCACGTGGGTCATGGTGCCCCTGGGATCATGGCATGATGGATGCCAGGGAACATGGGATTGTGGTGCCCATGGAAACACGATGCTTCTGGGATGATGGGTGCCTGGACATTGGATCAGGGTGTTCATGGAGCCCAGGGTATAGGATTACAGTGTCCCTGGCATTGAGGTGCCCATGGGACCACAGTGGCCAGGAGAGGTGATCACAGTGCAGACACGGTGGCACCCAGCCCACCTACTGCTCCCCACCCTGTCTGCCTGCACAGGGTCCCAAGTGGCACACATGCTGCTCCAGCCTCAGGGCTGCTGTCTGGTGATCAAGAATCATTACCACCCTCATTTAATGGCACCTTTATTCCTTCATCACTTCTCACGCAGGGGATGGTGCAGCTGGTGCTCCAGGGCATTCCCAGGGGTGGGCATGGGTCTGTCCCAGAGAGGGAGAGAGCAGCAGAACTCCCTGCAGATCACTGCCTGATGAGCTGGCGCTCTCTGCTTCTTTTGCTGGTGGCAGTGGCAGACGTCATATCTGCAAGGAGCTCATCCTCATGAGGAGATCCTCTCTGCCGCAATTTTGGGGTAAAAATCCCCTACAGGACAGTGGAAAAGAGTGGGGCAGTGGTGGACATCACTCCCTTGGGTGCAGGTCCAGAGCTGAAGGCAGGGGGCAAGGGCAGAGTCTAGGGATGGATGGATGGGTGGGGGATACTGGGTGCAAGCCCAGGATGGGCAGGGAATGCTGAAACATGCCCAGTCCGTGGCCGTGGGCAGCACCATTCCCGCTCCATGGCCAGCCACGCAGGTCCTGCCACCAACACTGGCTTTAAATAAAACCTCCTCGGCTGCTCATTAACTGGTGCTGGAGCCCGGGGCCGCGTCAGCTCCCATCAGCCAAGCTGTCCATCTCCGCTGGCGCCTCGCACCTGCACGGCTCCGCCGCCGCGCCCCGGAGGGTATTTTTAGTGCAGCTGGGGCCCAGCATCCCACGGTCGAGGCAGCTGCCAGCACTGTGCCTCAGTTTCCCTGCAGTGTGGCTGCACTGCTCCCTGGGCCTGGGTTTTGGTGTGACTGTGACTCCCAGTGTGGGTGCTGACCTCACCCGTGTGGGGTCAAGCAGTGCCATTTCGGTACCACTGCCGAGTTGTTGTGGCAATGGGAAAGGCCCTGGCACCGCGTGGTTATTAGGGCTGGATCAGAAACGCAGGTGCTGGGTGGTGCTGGCACCGGTACTAGGGGATGCTGAGTGCCTGGGGAGCAGCAGGGGCAGCTGTCTGGGGCACTGACAGCTGATGGGAAGCAGGAATCCAGGGATGGATAGAAGCATGGATGGATGGGTTGAGGGATGGACAGACAGACGAATGGATGGGTGAGTAGGTGCATGGATGGATGCAAGGATGGATGCAGGGATGAATGAATGGTTGGACGAATGGATGGATGGATGGATGGATGGATGGATGGATGGATGGATGGATGGATGGGTGGATGCTCTTTTCAGCACGAAGCATTGTGATAGCCTGGGCTGTGACTGGGTGGAAGATGTGTGCCAGGCCCCCTGTCTGGTGATACAGTGGGCAGCTGCAGGGGTACCCAGTGGGAACAGGGCTGTCAGAGCTGGCAGTGGAGTGGCAGAGGGAACTGCTCGTTAGCTGATGAGTCTGGTGTGGTTACAGTGACGTGTGTGAGGGCGGCTCCTACTTCAGGCTGCCCCCATCCCCCCTGCAAATGTGCTTGCAGAGATGACAGATTTCATGCTAATCCGCATTTATCCTGCCCTAATTACGCTGCGGGAGGTGAGGAATAAGCACCCAGACTTCCATGCCAAGGGCTGGCATGTGCCCACCCCTGCCCACCCGTGCTCGATGCTGCTGGTCAGGACTGGTGCTGGTGCTGTGCCCACTGCCATGGCAGCAGGGACAGGCAGGTGACCTCGCAGGGTGGCACCTTGCATGGCACGTGGCACCCCTGCCCCAGTTGGGGGGATGTCTTTAAGGTGCTGGCTGTGCACCCACAGGTGGGCACTGGGTGGGTGGCACCCAAGGTGCTGCGTGCCTGGCCATGGTTGGTGGAGCACTGGGCTGAGCTGTGGGCAGGTGTGTCCGTGCCAGGCCATGCCACGCTCTGCCGTGCCGTGCCACGCCACCTCGTGCTGTGCCCACCCGCCACGGCTGCAGCAGAGCAGCCGGCGTCCCACCCCGGCAACGCGCCGTGCACACACAGCACTTTAAATGTTTTATTTGGGGAAAGTGCTGTCGTTAGCAGGGATTAATAATTAAAATCAGAGCCATCTATAAAACATGAGTGGCCGCACGCGGGGCTGCTGGTGCACAAGCAGAGCCGGGCACGGTCCCGCCACTGGCATCGCCCGGGGATGTGCTGCGACGGCGTTTGCCGGCGCTGCCGCAATGGCACCTTGCGCCAGCAGCGGGTTTGGGCTCCTCACGGAGAAGTGGGCACAGGCAACGGGTCCCACGACGTAGGGGTTGGACTGGAGATGGGCAAAATTGTGCTAAATCAGCGTTTGGGTGTAGCGGTGGTCTCCGGTGCCAGCCGTCCCGGAGAGAGGTGGCAGGAGGCAGCAGGCAGCGCCGAGCTGTTTTTAGCGGCTGCCGGTGCTGGGGAGCGGGCGTGAAGAGCAGCCGCCGCGGCACCGACGTGCCATTTTTAGAAACCGGCGAGTTTTGCTAATGATGCCTGTGAGCGGCGGGGGGGCCGCCCGCACTCCGGTACCCCCGGTCCCTGCTGCCCACACCCCGGCCCCGGCGGCCGGCCCTGTCCCTCTGGCCTCCCCGCCTGGTTCTGGAGCTTGTCACTGGGGGCGCCTGCACTGCCCAGGGCACCCTTGCACCCACCTGGGGCTCTGATGGCCCTCAGGGAGCTCTGATGGCCCCTGGAGAGCTTTGGCGGTGCTTGGGGAGGTTTGGAGGTCCCTGGGGATCTCTGCTGACCCCCGGGGAGATCTGCTGGCCACCAGGAAGCTTGTGTTTATCCTTAAAATCCTTCCAGGCTATAAGGCATGTCTTTTGTTCCTTTCTCTGCTCAGGAGACAACACCCACCCTTAGCTGGGGAGACTCATCCCATCTCAGAGCCTGGTCAGGACCTGTGCCAGCCACATCAGTCCTGACCTTGGCCCTGTCCCTGGGAGCCAGTTCTCTCCCCTGGAGACATTTCTCTCCCTGAGCTATTGCCCTGAGCAGCTTCCCTGCACCTTGGTCCCTATGGCTGCAGGTACCACACAGAGAGCCAGGGGACCCTCAAAGCTCTTCCAGTGGGAAGGGGAACCAAACCCCAGAGCCATGTCATCACTGTGATGCAGAAGGACACAATGGAAACCTACCCCCTTCCCACATCAGGGCTCCAGGGACCAGGAGCCAGCCCTGGATGTGATGGGAGCCAAGCTGGTGGAGAGGTACAAGGCTTTGTGTGTGTGTTGTCATCGACACAGGAATGGGCCACACCAGGAGCAGGTGGCTGGGGACAACCAGTCACAGTCCAGGGTGCCCAGCCAGGTGGGTGGCAGCCCTGTCCTCACTCATGGTGTGATCAGCAACTGGGACGGGCTGGAGGAGCTGTGCCACTGTGGGGGGCACCATGCCTGGTGGCCGAGCTGGGGGTCACTGCTGAGGCTGCCCCACACCTGGGGCTGGGCTGGGCAGCTCACTGGCTGCGTCCCTTGACGCCTTCCAGGGCACAAGGGTGCCACTGGACACTTACGGGGAGGGTGGCCCTGCCACCATGCACCCCCCTGCTGCTGATCCCAACTGAGGGCCAGGGGTGATGACTGGCAGCTGCACTCCTGTTTTTTCTCCCCCCTCGCCCCCCACCAGCCCCCCGAAAGGAGGGATGGGGTTTATTTGGCCCTGTTGCCGGGCCGACGTGCGCAATTATTGCTGATTGCCTGGCGGTTGCCATGGCGATGGCGAGCACGCAGGGATGCGGTGCCGCGTGGTGCTTGAGTCACGGACACGCTGAACACCCCCCGCTGCACCCCACTGCACCCCGACACGGACACGCCAAACACCCACCGCCACACCCCACTGCACCCCGCTACCGACACGCTCAACACCCCACACCGCTCCCCACTGCACCCCAACACAGACACCCTGAACACCCCCTGCCACGCTCCACTGCACCCCTGCACGGATACACTGAATAGCCCCCGCTGCATCCCACTGCACCCCAACACCGACACACCAAACACCCCTCACCACATCACTGCACCCCGATATCAACATGCCAAACACCCCCCACTGCACCCCTGCATGGACATGCTGAATGCCCCCTATCACACCCCACTGCACCCCTGCACAGACACACTGAACAACCCCTGCTGCACCCCACTGCACCCCTGCACAGACACACCAAACACCCCCCACTGCACCCCTGCCAGATACTGAACACCCTCTGCTGCACCTCACTGCACCCCTGCACTTATACACCAAACACCCCCTTGCTGTACCCACTGCGCCCCAGAACAGACACACTGAACACCCCCTACTGCACTCCACTGTACCCCCAGCACCCTCCAGGAGGGCCCTGCACCCCCTCCACCCTGCTGGGTTGGGGGGGTATGGCCAGACGTCCCCCACACTGTGTCTCCTCACCCAAGGGTAGGTCCAGGTGTCACTCCCTCCCCATGTGCCCCATCCAAGGCAGAGGTGTACAGCCAGGTGCCCCCAGCCCTGGCAGCCCCATCCACCTCAGGCATCCCAGGCTCACTCACTCCAGAGGATCTGTGGGGAAAAAACACCCCAGATTGCCATGACACCCAGGACCCAGCTCTGGGAGGCAGTGGGAAGGGGGTGTGGAGGTGTATGAGGCAGTGGGTACATGGGGTGGTGGATGCACGGAGCAGTGGGGCACAGCACCACAGGGACAAGATCTGAACCAGTCGGGACCAGGGAACAGTGATGGGACCCCAGACCAGTTCTGACATGGCCAGGAGGCTGGTGCTGGCAGGTGCCGGGCACAAGTGGAGTCAAGGGACAATGGAGGAGTGCCATCCCATCCCATCCCATCCCATCCCATCCCATCCCATCCCATCCCATCCCATCCCATCCCTCGTGCTGTGAACCATGGCTGGGCAGCCCCACACGGCACGGGCACCTGCCAGGTAATTGTGACTTACGCTCCAGATCCCCGCGAGGTGCAGAGATTAATAACCGTGGCGCGCTGCTGCCAGCCGCTATGATTAAACTCTTGATTAGAAGCTCAAACTACAGTGCCCTGCTAATTCCCCCTGCTCTCATGCGCCGTTAATTACCCGGCGCGGGTGGCGGTGGGCCCGCGGCTCGGTGCCACGCAGGGGACAGGTGCCAGGGGTGCCCCAGGATGGCTCTACCTGGGTCTCCTGTGTGCAGAGGGGAGACGCTGGCTTAGGGGATGGGACCCTGATGTTCCCCGTCCATGGGCAGGGGGGAAGGCTGTGGGTCTGGGGAGCTGGTGGCCACATCCCTGTGGCGACTTGGTGCAAGCCAGGTGGTTTGGGGAGCTGGGGTTTGGTGGGTGCAGGGGCGGGAGGGAAGGGGAGTGGGGGTGCGGTTCGGAAGCAGCACCATATGGGCCGCAAATGCCAGCGTGTGGCACGCAGCCGTAGGGGAGGCTCCGCACACGTGTCTGCACTGCATGAGGAGCGGGGGGCAAGGGGGCTGGGCAAGGGGCTGGGGACCCTGCTATGCCCCAGGGGCTGTGCTGCCCACCTTTGGTTGGATGTGGTGCCTGGGCTGTGGGCAGAGGAAGAGAATCAGGGTGGATGATTTCTCCCTGCTTTCTTGCTCCTTGTGCCAAGCTGTGGGGCACAGACTATCCCTGTCATAGGGGGCCTTTGGCCCTGTAGTTGGGGAAGGAGAAGTTGCCTGGTTCACCCTAGATCATGGCAAAGAGGCAGGAGTGTCCTCATGGCAGTGTCCTCATAGTGCCCTCAGGGGACAGACATTTGTGATGCTGAGCCTGAATTCAGCTTTGCTAAAATCCTGCTCCTGTCCCTTCCCATCCCATCCCATCCCATCCCATCCCATCCCATCCCATCCCATCCCATCCCATCCCATCCCATCCCGTCCCATCCCATCCTGTCCCATCCCATCCAATACCATCCCATCCCATTCATATTGTCCCATCCCCCTACATATCATTCCATCTCATCCCATCCATCCTGTCCCACCCTATCCCATCCCATCCCAGTGGCCATGGCATAACCCAGGGGGACCTGGGCTCAGCCCGATGGGGACAGTGTAGGGTCCCATGGCCCCCAGGGCGTGGCGTTGTCCCAGCTCGGTGTCCCACCCCCGTGGGCAGCTCCGGGGCCACTCGTGACGCGTCCCCGCGGAGCCCACGGGCGGGGCGCGAAGTTCGACGGTGACGTCATGGGAGGGGGCGGGGCGCGGGCCGGGGCGTGTCCCCGCGGCCCCGCCCCCCCAAGTTGCCGCGCCGGGCGCGCGGGGCCGCGCCGCGACGGACCGACGGCTCGGCTGGGACCGGCTGGGAGCGCTGGGAGCGCTTGGGAGCGGCTCGGCTCGGCCCGACTCGGCCCCGGCCCTGCGCGGGAGGGCGGGAGGAAGGGGCGCGCTCCCCCCGAGCGGCGGCCCCGGGCCGCAGCCCCCCGTTGCGGTCGGAGAGGCGTGCAGGTGAGCGTCGCGCCGCGCCGGACCGGGGGCGAGGGGGGCCGGGCCCGGCGGTGGGGGCGTTGCTGGGATCTGGCACTGGCTGTCCCGGGGCTGCCCCCGACTCTCCCCCGCCCCCGGTGGCCCGGGACATCCCGGCGGGGCCGTGCGGGTCCCTGCCCAGTGCGTGTGCGCCCCGACGGCTGCCCGCCGCCGCGCTGCCCCCGCCGGCACCCCGCGTCCCGCAGACCCCGAGCCCCGACGGGTGCCGCGGGCACGGTGAGCTCCCGGAGCCCGGCTCCCCCCGCACCGCCCCACTCGCGCCCCCGGGCCGCTTCTGCCCCGATGCCACCCCCGTCTCCGCGCGGAGCTCGAAGCGGAGACCTGGGCTGGCCCCGTGGCTGGCGGTGCTGCCAGAGACCCTCTCCCCACGTCCCCTCCGCCAAGCATCCCCTCCCGGACCCCGCGCCTCTCTCCCGCAGTCCGCTCTCTTCCCGCTGCCGCAGCGCTCCGAGCCGGCCAAGCGCAGACCTGCCTGCGGTGCGCGGCCCGGGCTGTCCCCCCGCACGCCACGGGCCGGGGGCGGTGGGGCTCCCCAAGCCCTGCCTGAGCCCCAGCCCGGGGGCTCCGCGGGCAGCGCGGAGCCGGCCGGCCCCTCCGCTTCCCCTCCGCCTCCCACTGCCTGCCCGCTGCCTGCACTAGCAATATTTCGGTCCGTCTCAGCCCGGCTGCATTTTCTGCCTGTCCCCGGTACATCCTTCCCCCGGGACGTGGGGGCGGGATGGCAGCGGGGACACCCCCCCCACGGACACGTCCAGGGCAGCTGCAGGTGGAAGCGGGGCTTAAGGTGGAGCACCGGCCGGTGGCACATCGTACTGTAGGGCAGAGCTGGGGGTCGGGGGGCTGGGGGGCCCCGCTGGCGAGGGCTGCACGGCTGCGTCATCCCTCCGTGCCATCCCCACCCGGCCACCCACTTCCCCGCTATTGTCTTACACCCGCTGTTGCTTCTGCTCCCAAATTAGACACTTGGAGGGGGGTGCTGGCTGCGTGCGGGTGCCAGCGCAGCACTGAGCCTTCCCCCCGGCACCCCGGGGAGGAAGCACTCGCCCTTCTGCCCACCTCTTGCCCCTGAGTGCCCCTGCCGTGGTGAGGGTCCTCTCACCTGTGGGGTGCAGGTGCTGGCACCGATGTGGGGCCGTATGGCAGCCTCCCTTGCAGGGTACCCCAGGTGTGCTGAGCCCCACCTCAAGCCTCCTGGGACAGGGGAGGGTACCAGTGCTCAGCCCTGGCAGGAGGAGACCCCATTAAACCAACAGGAACTAATTTTATGAGCGCAGATTAGCTGAGCGCTCGCAGAGACAGCAATAAAATCCCAATATATCATCCTGCCCGGGTCCCCTTCCCGACTAATCCTGGCATTGTGCCACCAGTGCTGGCAGCCTGCCTGCCCGCCTGCAGGCCAGCCCTGCCCCGATGGTCTGTGGCACTGAGCCCACCACCACACCAGCAGCTGCCAGGACAGTCCTCGTCCCCCTTGACCGGGCACAGCAGCACGGCAGAGCCAGCACGGTGTGGCATGGGGACACGGAGGTGCCAGGCAGGGCACGTTTGCCAGGGAGACTGGTGGGATGAGTCAAGCGTGGGCTGGAAAGCCTCACTCAGCCTGTGGCATGGGCAGGGATGTCCCATGGGTGCTCTGATTCTCTTTCGGGACTTGGTGCGTGCTGAGCAGGACGAGTGTGGGTGCTCTTGCCCGGTGCAGGCTTTCCTGGCAGGAGGGTGCCTGGGTGCCATGCAAGCTGGGAGCACCCATCCTGTGGGCATTGCTTGAGCAGGCACAGAGGCAGGTCAGCTCCTAGGGATGGAGGCAGGAAGAAGCATCCCCCCATTCCCTGGCTCAGGGCACTCACGTCCCACCCAGGTTTGGGTCAATCACCCCAGGGAGAGTTTAGGTGTGTGCCCCGGGTGCTGTGGGCAGGACCACCTTCCTCCCAGGGCCTGCGCAGCAGGGATGGGGCTGCGCACCCGCAGGTGGGTCGGGTACTGCCGGGTGCTGCCCGTCCCTGCCCCCTCCAAAGGATGTGCCGCTTTCTGCATCTTCAGCTCCCATTGCCATAGCAACAGGCTCGGCGCTTGGGTACCCGCGATGCCGGCTCCCGCATCCCGCATCCCGCACTGCCATCCTGCCCGCAGCTCTCACCACCGGGCCCCGGGCGCTGCCAGCACGGCACAGCCAGGCCGGCACAGCACAGCACGGTGTTTGGGGAGCTTTAGTGCTGGGCAGTGGGTGCCTCCAGCATCGTGCCAGCATCCCGTCACAGGGTCCCACACAGGCCCATCCAAGAGGGCTGGGGGGCCGCAGGCAGCTCTGTCACCTTCTGAGCCATCAGAAAATAACACCAGCTGAAACTTCCTCCTGGTAACAGGGTGGGAGAGGGAAAAAAATCACTTTATGCGACCAGATTTTTTTCTGGGAAGCTTCCAAGGAAGATCTGGTTTTGAAGGGTTCCCAGCAGGAAAGCAAGGGGCGAAACATCCTTAGGAAAGGGCCAGAGGAGCTGGTGTGTGCCAAGGCCAGTCAGCGTCCTGCCTGCTGCTGGTGGCAGGAGGGCTGGCACCTACAGGCCATGGTGCCAACTGCCCAGTGCCGCAGTCGGGGCTGGGAAAAGGGATGGGGAGCTGAGGCTGGTGTAACCCACTGCACATGTGACAATGTGTGACAGTGCTCTGCTGGGGAGGCCCTGGCTGCTGAAATGTCACCGTGGGACAAAACTGGGCTGAGAAACAGGAAAGGGTCGATTCACCTCCACTTCCCTCCCCAGTGGGTGCTCCGGGCCCTGCGCTAGCCCTGGCTGCTAATTAAGAATTAACGATCCGGACAAGGGGGGCCAGAGGGGCTGGCTTGTGGCTGTGCTGGCGGCCTGAGCCCAGGCAGAGAGGCTGGATGCCACAGGGATGGATGGATGCACGTCGGTGGGGCTGGGCACATGGTGGTTTGTGACAGCTGGGGAGCAGGAGCAGGCACTGAGCTCCGTCAGGTTTTACGTTAATTAGTGCAGCTTGGGAGGGTCTGCTGTGGCTCCAGGGGGGCCGGCGGTGCCGGGGCACTCACCGCCTCTCCCTGCCCTGCCAGCACCGGGCCCTGCGATGCCGTTTGGCTGCGTGACGCTGGGAGACAAGAAAGATTATAACCAGCCGTCCGAGGTGACTGACAGATATGACCTGGGCCAGGTCATCAAAACGTGAGTTGGTCCCTCCATGGCCCGCGGATGCCCCGGGGACCCCAACGCCTGCATACCCTGGGCTGAGGAGTGGCACGACACTGCCGGTGGGGCTCTTGGGGTGCTGGAGCCCAGCTGGGCTAGGATGGCAGGGTGCATTTTGGGGTGGCTATCTCCTAATTAGTCCCTCTTGCTCGTGGGTGCATGGGGGTTTCCACAGCTGGCTATGAGGAGGGCAGCAAGCTTTCCCACCGCTGCTGGCTGCAGCTGGGTATCTCCCTGTATCTCTCCCTCCTCGCCACAAGACTTGCAGGGATTGCAGCAATTCTGCACGATCCTGGCTCCCCCAAGCAGTTTGGGAAGCAGGAGGGCTCTGTTTCAGCAAAGGAAACACAGATACCATTTGGTGGGGGGGGGGAGCAGAGCACTGCTGCTTCCCCCAACTTTTATTGCCATGCTGGGCGACCCATTAGAACGCACTCCAAAAAATGAAGCCCTCAGACCCACTGAGAGCAGTCTGACTCCAGAATATGCACCAGAATTTTTTCCAAAGCAACCACTTTGCCATTGGTCATGCCTGGTGGGGTGACACTGGGTGGTATTGGGGACCCTGGTGCTCTCAGATCTTGGCTCCATCCCCTGGGCCGCCTGCCCCAAAGCCCACGGGTCCCAGTTCCCCTCCATCCAGGGCAGTGGCCATGAGGATTTCAGCACAGCAGGAGGGACTGGAAGCCAAAGGCTTTGCTGGAGCAGTGCCGAGTGTCCCCCAGGGGCTTCCCCATGGCTCTGGCCTGGCCGATGGGCTCGGGCACCATTAATAATACAACAGAAATACTGCAGCAACCGGCGAGTCTCCCCTTCTTTCTCCCTGACCGCAGTGCTGACAATAATGTCGGGGTGTGCTGCTGTTCCACCTCAGCACAGGTGGCTATGCAGTGGGTCTTACCCCAGCTGCTGTGAGGAGGGGGCTTTTTAACCAGCAAATGTTATCCCTTCCCTATCATTTTGCTTATTGCATATCAGTTCCTTCTCATCGCTATTTTTTTCTCCCCTCTTCTCTAAAGAGGTTTTTAGGCACAGCTTCCTTCCACCCCTATGGCATCTCCTCTGACCGCTGGGATTGGGGGAAATGCTGGTGGGCCCACCTGAGCACCCCAAGCTCAGTGGTCCCCAGGAAGGGGGTGATGATTGGGGGTACCCTTGCAGGGAAGAGTTCTGTGAAATCTTCCGGGCTAAGGAGAAGACGACAGGGAAGCTCTACACCTGCAAGAAGTTTCTGAAGCGGGACGGGCGGAAAGTGCGGAAGGCGGCCAAAAACGAGATCATCATCCTCAAAATGTGAGTGCCAGGGCTGGGGGGGATCCTGTGCAGCTGGGCAAAGTGGGGAGGGACCCCCACCCATGCCCCTGTGTCTCCGCAGGGTAAAGCACCCCAACATCCTACAGCTAGTGGACGTCTACATCACCCGCAAGGAGTATTTCATCTTCCTGGAGCTGTAAGTTTGGGACATGCAGGGGGGTGTGCAGCGTGGCCCCACCAGGGTGGGGTCTCGGCAAAGCTGCTGTCTGCAGGGCCACTGGCCGGGAGGTCTTTGACTGGATCCTGGATCAGGGCTACTACTCCGAGAAGGACACCAGCAATGTCATCCGGCAGGTGCTGGAGGCTGTTGCCTACCTGCACTCGCTCAAGATCGTCCACAGGAACCTCAAGGTGGGTGATGGAGGGGTGGGAGCACCCATGGGTGTTGCCGTGCCCCCCACCCTGGCACTCACAGCCCCTGCACCGGCAGCTGGAGAACCTGGTGTACTATAACCGCCTGAAGAACTCCAAGATTGTCATCAGCGACTTCCACCTGGCCAAGCTGGAGAACGGGCTCATCAAAGAACCCTGTGGCACCCCTGAGTACCTGGGTGGGTGAGAGCCAGCCGGGTGCGCATGCAGGGGTGGGCAGTGCTGCTGGGGTCCCAGCAGGTCCCTGCTGTTCCTCACCACACTGGGGGGTCGTAGTGGGTCCCTCCTGATGGTCATAGGTGCCCCTGGCAGGTCCCTCCCATTCCCCGTCACACCCTGTGGGCTGATCCTGGGTTCTCCCAGTGGGTGCCTCCCACTCCCCATGATCCAAACAGCTGGGGTATTTGGGACCCCGGGGCAGGGTTGCTCTTGTGTCCCCTGCAGCTCCGGAGGTGGTGGGGCGGCAGCGGTACGGGCGGCCGGTGGACTGCTGGGCCATTGGCGTCATCATGTACATCCTGTGAGTGTGGGGTGAGGGCTGGGGTGGTCAGAGGGGCCTTGGGGACCAGGGGCTGGGCTGAGACCCCCACCACATCCCCCAGCCTCTCTGGGAACCCCCCTTTCTACGAGGAGGCAGACGAGGATGACTACGAGAACCACGACAAGAACCTCTTCCGCAAAATCCTGGCTGGAGACTACGAGTTCGACCCGCCTTACTGGGATGACATCTCGCAGGCAGGTGAGCCACACGCTGGGGGGTTCGTGGGGTCTCGTGTTGTCCTCCCCCAGCACTGACGTCCCCCTCTGTGCCCCCAGCCAAGGAGCTGGTGACGCGCCTGATGGAGGTGGAGCAGGACCAGCGGATCACAGCGGAGGAGGCCATCTCCCACGAGTGGTGAGGGGCGGTGGGGTGCGGGACTGGGGTGGGGGGCTGCTGGGGGCTGCTTATCCCTCCCCACCTCCCCAGGATCTCTGGGAATGCCGCCTCCGACAAGAACATCAAGGATGGAGTCTGTGCTCAGATTGAGAAGAACTTTGCCCGGGCCAAGTGGAAGGTGTGTGGGTGCGCCGTGTCTCAGTTTCCCCCGGTCCCCCATCGCGGGGCTGTGAGCCTGGTGGGGCTCCCCTCCGCCAGCCCCACGCCCCGCGCCTCTCCCCTGCAGAAAGCCGTGCGAGTGACCACGCTCATGAAACGCCTGCGGGCGCCCGAGCAGACGGAGACGGCGACGGCCGCGGCACCGGCAGCGGCCTCGGCAGCAGCCCCGGCCGCCACCCCGGCCCCTGCCGCCACCGCCGCCACCAGCCCGGCCCCCGCCGCCGCCGCCACGGACCCTGCCGCCGCTGCCGCGGAGCCCACGACCCCGGCCCCCGCCGCTGCCACTGAGCCCACGACCCCGGCCCCCGCCACTGCCACGGCTCCGGTCTCGGCCCTCACCACGGAGCCCGCAGCCCCCGCCGCCGCCACGGAGCCCGCGGCCCCTGCAGCCCCCGGCACGCCGCCCGCAGCCGCGCAGCCCCCGGCCCCCGGCACGCCGCCCCCCGCCACGAGTAACGGGGCCGGGGCGGCCGCCGAGCCCTGCAGCGAGCAGAGCGGCTGAGCGGACCCCGCGCCCCCTGTACATAGCCCCGGCATGGCCCCCCTGCCCCCGCCTGCGCCCCCTTTTCTACGCGCCCCGCCGGCGATTCGGCCGCGGGGCAGAGCCCTGCATGGCGCCCGTCCCCCCGTGTCCCCTCCCGCTCTCTCAGTCTGTCCCCCGCCGCCGTCCCCTCCCCCGGGGATGCCCAGAGAAGCGAGGCAGATCCCCCCGGCCGCACGCCCCGCACGGGGGCATCGCGGGGCCCCTCTGGACACGCGTGCACGTGCGGGGCCGCGCGGGACGGGGAGAGGGCCGTCCCAGAGACCCCCTCTCCGTCCTGGGACCCCCGGGGGGGGTCACGGGGACTCCCCGCACGGTCCCCCGTGCGTCGTGCCTGACGGACTCCCGGTGACCCCCCCGCGCCTCCTCCCCGGTTCCCGCTTTCCCCCCCCGCAGCTGCATGCCTGCAGGGCCGGCTCTGCCCGCGGCTGCCGCCCCGCGCCCCCCCCGCTGTATCTCTGGCAAATAAAGACCCCGCTGAGGACAAACTGAGACAGCACCAGCGCCGCCTGCCCTGTCTCTGTGTGGGGCCGGGGGTCCGCCGGGCGTGCCACCGGCACGGGGCTGAGCGGGACGCGACGGCAGCACTCGGAGCGGCAGCGGGGGCCGGGCACTGCGGGCAGCGGGGCCCTGCGGGAGTTGGTCCCCGTGAAGGTGCTTCGTGGCGCCGCCGCCCCGGGGTCGGTCCGAGCTGTGCGGGGGATGGCGGGACCGGCGGGCACAGGGACCCGGGGGCGCCCGCGGCGGGGCGCGGCCACGCCCCGCCACAGGCCACGCCCCGTCACAGGCCACGCGCCCGTCACAGGCCACGCCCCCGCGCCCCTCGCACCGCCACGCCCCCTCTGCCCTCGGTTTGCGCGAGGCTAGTGAGGTCACTTCCGGTCCGGACCGGAAGCGGTGGAGCGCGGCCGCGTTTGAACCGCGCAAAGTCGCGCGGCCTCTCCGGCACCGGCAGCGCCACCCCGGGACCACCCGGACCCACCCCAGCCTGCCCGGGACCCACCTGACCCACCCTCAGCCTGCCCGGGACCCACCCGGACCAACCTCAGCTTCCTCGGGACCCATTCCGAGCACCCTCTCCACACACCCCCTCTCCTGGCCCTCCCCGACGCCCCGTCCCGGTGCCCCCTGCCCCGTTCCCGCCATGCCCATCCGCGCCCACTGCACCATCTGCTCCGACTTCTTCGACAACGAGCGGGACGTGGCGGCCGTGCCGTGCGGGCACACCTTCCACCGGCTCTGGTGAGGGACGGGACGGGTGGGGTGGGTGCACGGGGCAGGCCAGCTGCCCCCGCGGGGTGTCAGCCGTGACCCCCCGCTCCGCTCTGAGGGGCGCTCGGGGCGGCCGCGGTGCTCGCTGGACACGGGAACGGGCGGCCCGGGGGGGCGGTGGGGACAGCGGCCCGGGTGGTGCTTCGGGAACGACTGGCCGTGGCACTCAGTGCCCTGGTGTGGCTGGCAGAGTGGGGCTGGGTCACGGGTAAGGCTCGAGGGTCTCGGGGGCCTTTTCTGTGACTGTGTCACTCCGCTGCCGGCGGGCTCCCTTCTCCCCGAGGGCCGGTGCCAGCTGTGCTGGATTGCGGTGAGGCCTCCCTGGCAGTTCCCTGCTGCTGCTGGAACAGTGCTGGAAGTGTCTGCGTTGGACGGAAACGGTTCTCCTGAGGAAATAAACCTTGTGTGTGGGGAGAGGGTGGGCACTTGCTTTCCTGGCTGACAAACCGGGAGCGGCACCACGGGTGTGATTGTCGCCCTTACCGGGCTGTGCTTCTCGGGCTCGCTCTCCTCCAGCAGCCAGCGGAGGAGGGAGAGCTTCCAGCGGTAACCTGCCAGCCCCAGGCCGTTACCCTGCTTCCGAAATAAACCCTTCCAGCGCGACGTGACGGCTCGGTTGCGAAATGCATTAGTGGCTCTGCTGGGGAGCACAGCAGGTTTGCATCCATCATCTCGGAGCAGAGAGCGTCCCAGTCCCGCCCGCTCGGCAGATCCGTGTTCAGTGACACCCCCTGGAGCTGCCCGCTCGGCAGATCCGTGTTCAGCGGCACCCCCTGGAGCTGCCCGAGCTGGATCTCGGCTGTCGCGTCCCGATATAGAGCAGCTCTTGTGCCGCGCCCTGCGCGGATCCGCGCGCTCCTCCGAAGCTGCGGTTGTTCAAAGCCTGTCCCCCAGAGAGATCCGAGCTCTGCGAAAGCTCTGCCCCGGTAAAGATAAGCTCACACGCTGAATTCAGCCGGGGATTGTCTCGGAGGCGCCCGTGTGGAACGCGGCGTTCCTGTCGGCCGCGCCGCTGGGCTGAAGACTTGTTCTGTTTTGGTGTGTAACGAGGAGCCACGTCCTGCTGCCTCCTGGGGAGCTGGGGTTGGCCCCTGGGAGCAGCACTCCTGGATTTTAAGGATTTACTACCTGTTTTGTGTTCCTTTCTCAGCCTCATCCAGTGGTTTGACACCGCACCGAGCCGGACGTGCCCGCAGTGCAGGATCCAGGTAAAGCCATCACCTGTGCACACCTCTCTGTGTCTGTGGCACAGTGCTCTGCAATGGCAGAGGGGTTGTGGCCTGGGGTGATGCCTGAGGTAGGAGACAGGGATTTTCTGTCACCTGGGACTCCCCAGAGGCTGAGAGGATGGACTCCCCTCTACAGCCCTTCTGGTCAGAGTGGGCTGAGGGTGCCCTGCCATTGTCTGCACTGCAGCTCCACCTGGAAGGGACTCTGGGTTTTCACAGATCTTATTTAGGCTGGGTAGGTATTGGCAGGATGACAGAAAGGGCTTCAAGGGGATAATGGGGACACCTGACTTGTGTTTCTGAAGTGCCCAGTTCCTTGCTCTCAGGTGAGGAGCCTGTTCTGCTGCATGTGGGCCTTATAACACATCCTGGCTGGGGAGCACTTGGTCCTCCCTTGAGGAGAGCAAAGGCTGGGAAGGGAGGGAAGAAAGGATGTGCTCTGCTTCTGAGATGGGAAGCTGAGTCTTGGGTTTCCAGTGGCTTAATTGGGACCTGAACTTCTTTGAAGTCCCCTGTGTCACCAGCCTTCATGCCGCCTGTAGGTCTTGGCGCGGAGCGGCTGCAGGAGATGTTTCCTTGCTCTCAGATGTAAATTTTTATCCAGCTGCAGCTCGGGCTTACTCTGTGTTCGTGCTTCTTTCTTCCTCTCAAGGTCTTGGCCCTTGTTCCTTCCCTGACTTGTTGATTCCCTCTGTTCTTCTCTGCCTCTTACATCTCTGGGTTACCATGGAGTTATCGCGAAATAACATCTTATGTGGCAGTAACCATGCAATTAGCTGGTGTCATGACTGTATATAATACTTAAAACACAAAGCTGTAACTGCATGGGGGAGGTGTGGAGAGCTATCAAATTCAATTACAGCACCTTCTGCCTGCAGAAAGCAGCACGTACTTCTGTCTTAGGATTTGGCATCATGTTAGCTTGGCGTCAGCTGCTTGGGCCTGAGCTGCCAGAGAACAGACTGCGCTCAAGTCAGAAATGTCTGAATCTTTCTGCTGAGGCTCAGGAGCTTGGCTGGAGCTGCACTCCCAAAAAACTGAGTGGGGGGTCTGCTGCTGTGCTGACGAGCCAAAGCAGAGCATCGGCACTAATGGCATCGAGCACGTGATCTCATTTGCCTTTCATGGCCTTGTCACAAGATGGTTCCTTCTCCCCCTCCATCTGTCTTCCATATCTGTGGTTTCCATATTTGTGCCCATGAACCTCTTCTGTCTCCTGTGTTTAGGTCAGCAAAAGACACATCATCAATAAGCTGTTTTTTGATGTTGCCCTGGAGGAGCAGGCAGCACCGGATGCAGAGACCTTGCAGGTAATTTGACTGGGGGTTCTTCCCTTGTGTGATGCTTCAGCCTCTTGGAAGCATGGCCTGTGCTCTCCAGGAGGTGCTTCCCAAGCTGGAACCTGCTGTGCTCATGTTTCTGACCTTGAGCACATCAGTCTCTACGAGGTGATTTAAAGTTCTCCCTGACCAAATCCCATGTGGTGACTCAAGAAGCTTCTTCTACTTTGCTGCTGTTCCTTCTGGTTCTCACCTTACTTGGAAATCTCCCGAAGCAGCATCACATCAAACTGCTGCTTCTCCCCTGGGAATGAGGCTACAGACCTCTTCTGGAGGACAGGAGAAGGGAAATCCCAGATGCAGTGAATTGCTGCTGGTGTCTGTGGCTTGGTTGCCCATGAGGTCTGCTAACCCCTCTGGAAAAAAGGGGCTGTTGGAGGAAGTGTCCCCTCCTCCCTTCTGTGCAGCTTGCACAGGCTGAAGGAGGTGGGGTGGGGTGGGGAGTAAGTCATAATTCCCCCAGAGATGTTAGGAAAGGGACTGCCTGAAGCCACACCAGCAGCAGTGGACAGTGCTCAGGCTGGGGCCCTGGGGGATCCTGGCTGGAGCTGGGGTGGTGGGTGGTGGTCTCCAAGTGCCACCCTTGGGTGTGGAGGGCTGGGAGTGAGTGGGGATGAATAAAGAGCAGCTGTGCCGTGTTCTCCTCCTTTGTGTGGATGAAACAGGGTTCCTTCTGTCTTGGAGTTATCTGTTCCCAAAAAAAAAGTGGTCAGCTGACCTTGGTATAACAGGACGGTTGTACCCTCTTGTGTTTAGAATCAGCATGTGCAGCAATTACCATAATTAGCAGTTGCCATGACAATTCTATATGTATATCGTATGCCTTTAAAATAAAGCCAGCCAGACTATAATGTCAGGAGCACTGTCGTTCTCCAAGACCACTAATTACAAAACTGAAGGCCAAAATCTGTGTGCTGAGGAAATGGAGGAGCATCTCTGGGCACTGGGGTCTGTGTGCCCTTGGAGCACATAAACATTGCCTTTGGTTACATATTCGTATCTGTTCTCACGAGTGTAATTAGATGAGTGACTCGGAAATGGGTTGACTGGAGAGAATTGCCCTAGAAAAGCTTTCTGTTCTCTCTCACCCCCACCCCAGGATCCAAGATGGGTTCTCCCAGCCTTCCCCCTCCAGGCAGGCTGTGCAGAGCTGTTCCCTTCTTTGCTCAAGGGCAGGTCTGTGGAGCTGCTCCTGCACAACAAGCTTGATGGTAACTCCTCCTGCTCCTATAAATCTTGTTGTGTGGCCGTCAGAGCAACATCTAGCCCCGAGTGTTCTGCCTGCTTAATGAGGGCACTGAGGTCACCAACGGGAAAGAACCAAATATTTTCTGTGTAAATTAGCATTGTTAGCTTGTGTTGGTATTTATTGCTATGTGCATTCGAGTTGCTGCTGGGCTGATACTGGATTGTCAACAGTTCCATGTGGTGTGCTGCCTTGTTTCTGGAGGATGTGGACCACCTTAATAACCATGGATGCCTTGTTCACCACGGGTGGGGGATTTAATATCCATCTAGACTGCAGCTCTGTTTGCGATGGGGTATCTGATTCAGGCCAGGCAGCAGTTTAGCAAAGCCAACATACAGTGAGCCAAGCCCAGGCTCTTGAGGCTGAGAAAAGAATTGGTGACATCCTTGGCCAGAAGGGTTTTCACCTGAAAAAGCCCCACAAATCCAAGGTTTGTGACGAACTACTGGGTGGCCCTCTGAGAATCTGGGCATAGAGTGGTATTTGTCTCTGTAGTCAACTGGAGCTGTATCTGTGCAGCCTACAAATGTTCTTGAATGAACATTTGGCCTCCTGCCATGAAAAGGGTGTGCTAGGAAGCAGAGTGTGTAGCTGTGGTCTGCTTGTCATCTTGGGGAGACAAGCCTGGGATCCTCTTTTGAGAACCAGTCTTAGGTACCCAGTGAAGTGGTCAGAAGAGCTCCCTCGTGATCTGAAACTTCTTCCTGTTGTTGCAGAATTATCCAAATTATCTGTTGGATAGTAATTGTCTTTGGTGCTGTTCCTCATTCTTGCGGCTGCTCTGAAATGTCTGTGGTCAAAGGAGTGCGGGGGCTGCTTTGCTTTCCATCCCCAGGCATAAACTTCAACAGAAGCACCAGAGGGAACCTGTATCCCTGGAGTAGCTTTGGTGGAGGATGAGGGATTTGAGATGAAGTTGATGAATGAGGTAATGTTACATAGCTGCCCGCAGTAGCCCAGGATTTCTTTGCTATCATGATAATTGGCACATCTTCTGAGCTCACTAATCGTTCCTGAATAGGACTTCTGAGGAAGCTACTCCAGAATAGTTCCTGCAGCAGAGTTAATTCCACCTCAGCCCTGCAGCAGTTGTGCCCCTGGGGGCAAATCCAAGTCAGCTCTGCTAGGCTTTGCATTTAGTCCCTTCTGCTTACCGAGCTTTACATCCCATATTCTCTCTCCTGCCTTTATTGTCACTAGCAGAGCTTTGCTCTGGTCCCGTCAGATCTGTGGTCACTGGCGGTGCTATTCTCGGCTCAGATTTGCATGTAGCATTCCGGGTTGTGCAGATTTGTGTGCTCTGCTTCAGTTCTGTGTTGGCATTTTATTGTGGTTTTATTCCGCTGCAGTTCCTGCCTGACTTGTTATGTGCTTTCCTCTGCAGTTCTCTAACACAGCTTTTTAAGTCATCTTCTGTTGACTCTTTCCTGCATATATTTCTCTCTCTCTCTGGGTTTTTATACATATATATATATATATATATATATATATAAAAATAGCCTCTCTTTGTAACCTCTCTACATTTCCTTTGGCTATTCACCAGCGTTAAGTCATATCACCTCATTATCACTAATTTAAACTACAGGGCATTTGCTGCCTCTTTCTGATCCTTGATGAGGGCGTTAGAAATATTTGATGTTCCTCAGACCCTTGTGGCACCCGGGAGATGTTGTGCACCCTCAGTTTCGTGTGGTATGGATTAGTTTCTCAGTGATCTGTTTCCAGCCATTCGATTGAGCTGTTAGCTCATATCAGCATCCTGAGCTGCAGTGACTTCAGTGTCTGTCAGCGTGTTTGATTGCATGCTCGGTTACCTTCTCAGGTGTTTGAGTGTGCCCTCCTGTCTCCCACCTGCATCCAATTAAAGTTCACTTCAGTTTAAAGAACTCTCAATAATCCAGTTAGTCTGGCAACATCCCTGCCTTATTGCCTTGTTTAGGTAAAACATTATAAAAATTGTTCCTGCCTGATTTCCTGTATTTCCCTGAGAGCCTTCCAAAATTATTCAGCTTAAACAAGATGACTGACAGTGTGAGAAACACAAGGTTGACAAGGCTAAGACAAAACTGCGATCCTCTCTTCCCCCACCGAAGGATGCCAGTTGGAGGTGCTCTTTGCGTTCCCTGTGATAGTCCTGGCTTGTAACTCCGTGCTTGCTGTTTCTGTGTTCCCTCCTTAGCACCTGCCTGGTGCAGACATCCTGCTGAGAACCCTCTGGTCCCTTTAGGATTTGGTGAAAGCATCTCTACAGGGTGTTTCCTAATCGGGTTCTCTGTGTTGTGTTTCAGAATGAACTGGACAAGGTGAAGGCTCAGCTCTCCATGAAAGGTGAGTTCCAGCTGCCTGCAGGGGGTTGGCAGCCCACAGTTGACAGGTCCTGGGCTCTATCAAGTGGCTTGACCAGGCCTGAGGAACCTGTGTGCAGAGCCCACCCCTCTCTGAAACGGTGCTGGCTGCAAACTGTTTCACTGGTACAGCTTCTTCAGAGCTTCTCCTGGGGTGAGACCACCTAAAGCTCTGTATGACAGAGCCCAGGCCTGCAGCCTGGCCCAGCTCTGCTGTAACTCAGGAGCTCACTGTGAGTTTAGACACACGGATGCAATTTTACTTGCCCCTCTTCCTAATCACAAGCTACAGAACTGCAGCACAGCTCTATCCGGAGCAGGCTTGAAAGCAAAGCCCTTGGTTTGCTCACTGGGTAACTCACAGCTGCATGTGGCAAAGGCTCACTCCCTCCAGCAGATGAGAGGGTGAAAGTGGTGTCCAAGAGCAGCAGTGGGAAGGCTTTGGATTTGTTTGGCTGTTGCAGTGCCACATGTGTCGCGCGAAGAGCAGACGGAGTTCAGCGTGTGCGCACTTCCATTTTCCCATCTTTAATTTTAGAGGATGTTTGAGGGAGGCAGGAAAAGCAAAAGCCCTGGAGACTTGTCGATGGGTTTTAAGCATCGTCTGTAGGCAGCCTGTCATCAGAACATGAGTCATGAGCAGCGAAAGGAAAATGTCAGTCTAAGTGACAGAAATCCTAAAACATGCTAGCAGAAGGGAAAAAAAAAATGTTTAAAGAATGCTGGGGGCTCACCCACGCCCTGAGAGTTGTCTTCCCTCTGTGTTCCCTGCGTGCACGAGACAGACGTGAATAGCCAGTAGAATGAGGATTCGGTCCTTAGCCTGAGAGCAGAATTGGACGGTCTGCACAGCTCTATTCTGAGGCCTGTTCTCCTGCCAGCTCGGTTGAGTTTAGTGTCTTGGTAGAGAGCCAGATCTTCTGGGGAAGGTGGCTGGGATTCTTGCTAGGATGTTATCCAAGAAAAACTGCTCGAAGGCCTGCTAATCTTCTCGGCTCCTGGTGAGTAGAGGTTGGATTTGACATTCCCTATCCCATTCTCTTCTCATATTGGAAATGCGAAGCTCCTTCCCACCTCCTGCCTCCTTTGCTGTGGGTACTCTGCTCTCTGCTGGTTCCTGTGTATAAGTTCTCCATGTGAAGCTGTGCTCTGCTCTGTGCTGTGCTCTGCAGAGGACCTGTGGAACTGCCAGGCTCAGATCAGCTTGCAAATGGCTCAAGAGGTGCTGAGCTCCAAGCAGACCCAGCAGGTGCTGTGGGAGGCACTCTGAATGAGCTGAACACTCATTCCTGCAGCACGGAGAGCTTTGACTCCTGCCATCTGCCTCTGGGCAGCTGGGAACGGAGGAGGGGGAAACCCTAACTCTTCTGGTGGGTGTGGAGTCCCTGCAAATGCAGGGGAGCATCTCCAGGCTGTGCTGGTGAGAAAGGGTTATGCAGATCAATGGAGAAGCCACCCACCTGCTTCTTCTGGGTTACGTTCCTCTCCTTCCCCAGTCCCACGTGGCTCTTCTACTCTCTGATCAAGCAGTGAAGCTGCACTGCAGGTCATACTTCCACAGGATATGGTCGCACAATTTGAAACTGGATTGCTAGGAGAACAAGCTTTTTGGAAAGGCATTGTTTGGCTCTCCACTCTTGTCAGGCTGGAGCCAGAGGCGATTTTAGCAAAGACTGAAATGCTGAGCTGAAAAATTCACCCTGCTCTCAGCAGGATTAGGTGGAGGGGTGCTGCTTTCCCTCATTACCCAACTGCTTTGAGCTTTCCAGCAACTCTGGCTGTTCCCTGCATAGATCTGTCAGCTCCTGATGGTGGTTGTTGCTTCCTGAACTGTTCTTCTCTTGTCTCAACAAAACAAATCAAAATCTGGTGGTTTTTTTTCCCACCACCTTCTCTCTGGTGGTCAGAGGCATGTATTCCTGGTTTGCCTGGGGGAGGAACAGCAGGGCTCGGGTTTTATGACCTGCAAAAAGTGGGCACTTGGGGAATCCACTTAATCTGTCATGTGTCCTGCAAAGTCCCCGATGTCTCTGCTTCTTGCCCTTCACAATGTAGGTGCTGTGGTGGTGGCAGATGCCAGAGTATGGTGTACCACTGCATGCAGCTGCCCAGTGGCACCCAAAGGGCTTCCTGGCACGTGAGGCTCCATGTGGAGAGGACAGGCTCGGAGCTCTGCTCTCCAGCTCTGTGACAGCATGGTGTAACTCAAGAGGAATGATTTCCTTGTGCAAGCCTGGCTTTGAGAAAACGCAAGAGTTAAGATGCATCATCTTAACGCTAGCAGGGCTGGCACTGGGAAGCTATTAAAGGGAGTTTTTTATCTTTAGTAAAGAAATCTTGAAGCCTGCTGGCACTGAGAGAAGCAATTGCTCAGTACAGAACCTGGTGCAGACAGCACTTAGAGAAATGGCTCTCTCCAGGAACGGCCAAATCCTGGCAGCCTGGAGCTGGGATTGCAAGCACTGTGTGTGCTCCAGCTGCTGTGGGGCAGCTGCAGTCTGGGTTACTGGGCCATGACCTTTTTCTTTCTTCTTTTCTTTTCCAGAGAAAGAAAAGCGAGAATGCCAGGCTGTTGTGGATGGGCTGAGGGACACTCTGGATGTGCGCAATGCCACGATAGAGTCGCTCCAGAAGGTGCTGGGAGAGACAGAGATGCTGTGCTCCTCTCTCAAGGTACCCTTCCTGTCCCCAGCAGGACTTCAGCACTAACCATTGCACAGTCAGCGTTAGTTTTGCTGAAGGTCCCTCTAGGTCCTGCTAACAAAGAGCTTGTGCTGGTAGGATTTTGAATCTGGTGCCTGGGTTTTCATTTTGTTTTTATTTATGAAGCAAGTGGTGTCGCTGGACTCGAGGTCCTGCGTGTGCTCTGCCTGGAGGTGATTCAGAGGCACAACAGCCAGGCCTGTGGTTTGTGTACAGGTGGGTGTGTGCTCAAGGCAGAGGTGGCCGTGGTGAGGGAGAGTTGCCAGCCTGGCCTGGGGGGTGTTGCTGAGCCTTGCTAATGAAGTGGCAGTGCCGATCATAAAGGTAGCAGCGTGAGCCTAGTGTGGGAACTGGCCCCAGCACCCCATTGCTGAAACGCTGGCTCCCTGTGGTAGAATGTTCTTCTGAAATGGGTTTAGGCCAGGCAGGATTCAAGGAAAATTAGTTTCTTAGTTTGACTGGGGGAGAAATCAAACTGAAAAATATGGAAGGGGAGTTGCAGGCTTCTGCTGAGTGGGATCTGATCCAGCTAACTCTCCTGTCTCTCCTCCCTTGCCAGGGCTTTGCTTCAGTTAGGTTAGTAATGTTGTGAAGTCCAGGGATCAAATATTCCTGTTATGTTTCAGCATGCAGTGACTCAGTGTGTAGTCATGTAGTGTGCGTAAACAGCAAGAGGAAAAGGGTAAGAGCAGGAGTGGTTTTGTTGGGGTGCCTCGTAGCAGCTTTGCCTTGGGTGGGCTGGGCAGTCTCTGCTGTTGAGGGTGATGTGCCTGTCTCAGGTAGATGGGGTGCAGGTAGAGGGGGTTCTGAGTTGCAGGCTGAAAGATTGGGTAGGGGTCAACTGCACTTCCCAAGCTCTCTGCCCCTTGGAGTGCGGGTCTGACCCAGTATCCTAAACTACATCATATTCCTTGACCTGCAAGGTCAAGTGGCCCAGGGAGAGCCTGTAGATGTGTCACGGGGCTGTCCTGCTGTACACCACCTGCAGCTGGGCTTTTCTGGGAGGAACCAGTTCAGGTCTAACTGACACTAGAAGGACAGAGTAATGAATTCATGCTAGACAGGCCTTTCTGTGAGCCAGCACAACTCTTTTTACCCAATCATGGAGTTATATCCAATCTACTGGGTGTAAAGGCAGACGGGACCTTGGGCGTGCCAGAGATGCTTGTGGGATCCCGGATGTATCAGTGGCAAGATACTTCTGATGCTCCCTACTCCAGCAGAAACAACTGGGACCGTGCTTGCTACTGGACTCAGTATCTCTCTGCTTGGCTTTCCTGCCTTGACACTTCCAGAGGAAGCTCTGTGCTTATCTTGCCTGTTGCAAAACCTTCTCTGTGTGCTTAAGTCCCTTTAATGAAAGCTGGGCAGGGCAGAAGGATTAGGGACCTGGAGGTATCTTTTCTGTGGTGTACGGGGTTTCCCAGCCGAATGCCAAGCACTGTCTTATACTGCATCATTAAAGATTAAAGCACTAAACTTCTGCAGTGAAAATACAGGCTTAACTTGCTGTGACGCAGGTTAAGACTGCGCCGTTCCTGTCTTCTGCTGGCACTGTCAGCTGCTGCTGAACCTCCCTGTGAGGGTTTGCTGCTGTTTCAGGCTGGCTGAGGCTGGGGACTCTGCTCCAACCAGGCACAAGGCGCTGCTGTGGGGATCTGAAGTGTAGAAGGTTCTGTTTAGGGAAAGCCAAAGGCTCTGGTTAAGCAAGAGTAACATGTGAGCCTGCAACACCCTCCCTCCACAAATTCCCGGTGGTTTCACAGCTGTTTGGTTTCTGTGGCAGGAAGTGGATAAAATCCCTTAACTTCTGTGTGGGAAGGAGCTTTACGAAGCGATGGTCCTTTGCCAGGCCTCTCCCTGGAGTCAGCACTGTGCTGAAACCAGGCCCGGAGCCTTTCGAAGTTGCTGTGTGAGGTGCCCAGGCACACACAAACCTAGACAGCACAGATGCATCGGAATGGTGCTAATTCAGCTCTCCCCATCCTCTGCCACACTGCAGATGTGTGCTTTTCCAGCTCAGCTGAGGTTCTGTGTTGCTGCTGGAGAGCCTGGAGGGGCGATGGCTGCAATAGGCTTGCAGCAGGTGAGCAAAGTGCCTGGGTTTGTGTCTTGTTTGGCTGAGGTCTCCCAAAAGAGACCCACTCATTCCTATTTATGCTCTAAGCAACTAATGGCAGGGAGAATAGGGAGGCTAAAGCAATTTGCTGTGCATGCAGGAGAAGGTGACAGCCAGGTTTGCTTGCTGTGGACTCCGTTGCTTTGTAAAACAGATTGTCACTGTGTACAGGGCACTGTGCAGCCCCTCCAGTGCTCCCAGCAGAGAGGGGCTACGATATGGTGTCAGCTCCAGCCTCACCTTGCGATTAGCACTGAGACCCTGCTGTGCTGGTGGGGGACAGAGCTGGGGGTGCAGCGGGAGGGAGCTCAACTGTCCCTAATCCTGGGCTGCTGAGGTAGTGATAGCATTAAGAGCCAGTGTACGCTCCCAGCTGCCCGCAGTGCGCATAAGCCAGGATGTTTCTCCGACAATCCCTGGAGCCTTCCTAATGGTCTGTGTTGTGCTTGCTTCTCTGCAGAAGCAGATGAAATTCCTAGAGCAGCAGCAGGAGGATAACAGAAGTTCAAAGGAGGAGGCCCGCCGTCTGCGGAACAAGCTGAGAACCATGGAGCGGTGAGATCCGGGGTGCTCCCTGGGCCCGGCAGGCTGGGCTGCACACCCCTCCCCTTCCTGGAGAGGGAGGGAGGGGTCCTGCTGGACCTGCTGCAGTGTCCACCTTCACATGCTGGATCACCTTACCTGTAAGGTTGGAAACTGCTGCATTAGCAGGCCTGCCTTTGCCTGTCCCTGCTAGGTTTGTAGGCAGCTGCTCTCGTTGAAGAGCAGCAAGGCATGGTACTGGCCTCATCCCCAGTGCCCCAAGCATGGCTGTGTGCCATTCCTGCTATCAGAGGATGCTGGGGCAGAATGCCAGCCCAGGAACACAGTCAGCCACAGGGCTATAGGGACCAAGAGCTGGGGCATCAGCTCCATATGCACTCTATGTGTACAGCTGCCCCTTCTCTAGTCCAAATGGTGCCACACTTCCCTAGCGAAAAGCCCTGCTTGAGGTGAGGCAGCGGTGTCTCTTCCCTCATGACACCCAGAGTGTCTGCAGCAGGAGCTCAGGCTGCACCAACCCCATGGGGGAAAGCAGGGCTGCTGTTGTTTCCCCAGCTCTGTTTGTGACTCCTGAGCTTGAGGGTATGTTTTTGTTTGGTTTCTTTTGTGCAGGATTGAGCTTTTGCTTCAGAGCCAGCGCCCCGAAGTGGAGGAGATGATCAGAGAGATGGGAGTCGGGCAGGCAGCAGTTGAACAGCTTGCAATCTATTGTGTCTCACTGAAAAAGTAGGTGCTGCAGGCTTGGCGCAGCTGGCTAGTGCTGTCCTATCCTAACCTCAGCCCAGGGAGACCCTCTGCTGAGTAGCAGCAGGCACATGGGCTCTGCGGGGCTCTCGCCGCCTCTTCGGGCTTCCACTGGGTTTTGACTGACACATCCCGGGGACCTAGTTTGGAGCCTGTCACACTGAACTGTTCCTGTTGTCACTGTAGTGACATGTGTGTCACCATGGGAACTGTCTCCAGAGTTGTCAGTGCACCTATGAAGTGATGATGATTATTCCCTCCGCTTTCCTCTCGCGCCCGGGGGGAAGCGAGCGGATGAGGAGCTCCGGGTTGTGCCCTCTGCAGCCCTGCACTGTGCAGCTGTGGCCTCTGGCGTGCTCTGGCAAGGCAAGTCTGCACTGCTGCCCTCCCCTACCTGGAAATCCATCTGGTCCTGCTAGGCAAAAACACAGGTTTTTTTTGGGTCCGTTCTGATGGCAGCTGAGTAACTGCAGCTTTGGTATGAAGCTGTAATGAGGCAAGTGTCCCTGTGGTGTAACTGGAAGTGAATGTGCATGGCCAATAGTGTGAAGTCTCTGAAAAGTCACTTAAATCAAAGTCCCCTATTTGCTGCCAGCATGAAGACTGTGCTCTGTTGTCTGTCTTTTCCATTGGCAACTGAAATGTCTCTGGCTCTGGTTTCCATTTTGCTGGTGGAATCAGGCATGATATCCCTTGCAGGTTTTTTCTCTACCATGGGGTAGCAGACTGTGTGACACAGTGTTGGTACACTCAGCTCTGTTCCCTAAGGGGCTTTGTGTTTCCTGGGTTTTCTCTGGTGGCTCTGCAGTTCCAGAGCTTCAAATTAAGGGTTTAGGCTTGCCTGTGAGAAGTTCTAGCTCAGTCATCTTGCAATCAGTGTGACTCTTTGGGTCTCTTTGCAGGGAATATGAGAACTTGAAGGAGGCTCGGAAGGTCTCTGTTGAGATGACAGAGAAGCTGAAGAAGGAGCTATTTTCTGTCAATAACAAGGTAAAGGGGGGAGCGTGAGTCACCAGGGTGACATCTGGTCTATAGATCCCCAAGGCCTCTGCAGTGACCCACTCCCACACTGAGCACTACCTGGCTGTTACGGGCGTGTGGAAGGTCAGGCTGGGGTTTCTGGGTCAGGGTGTGATGCTGCGGTGAGCGAGTGGCTCATGGGCTGTTGTCAGGAGTGCAGTCTCTGAGGACAGTGGTAGGGCAGCTTGTGCAGAGCCACAGTTTGGCAGGGAGCCTGGGCTGGAAGGCAGCAGCACACAGGTGCTCCACTGCTCCAGCTGGGTTCTGGAAGTAGCACTTCCTTCCTCCTGCCACACTGCTGAGCGCTCAGCTGACAGCCCCTCCTTCTGCAGCACTGGGCCCCTAGGAAAGGTGGGAAGGGGCTTGGAGCCAGTGTCAGTTGAGCAGGGCTTAGCCCTGGCTTGGCACAACCAGTCACACCCAGCCTTGTGCCTTCAGCCAGCTGAACTGGGCCAGGGCTCCTTCATCTTGCTGTGGCCAGGCAGGAGAGGTTTCCAAAGCGCAGTGAGGACATGCAGGTGGCCCTGCACAGAGCCTGCCTGGGCTGGTCCTGAACTGGTGCAGAGCTTGGGAATGCTGACATGCCTCTGCTGACATGTGCTCCCCCCTGCTCCAGGCCTGGCTGGGCCTTGTCAGCTCAGGCCAAGAAGCACTTTGTCTGGTCTGGTAGCACGTCCCCGTGAAAAGTGTGTGCCTGCAGCCTCACTCTCCAAGGCACAGGTGTTCCCTGGGGCATCCCCGTGTCTCAGTCAACAAAGTAAGAAGCTGTGGGTGGCTTTGGCCTATTTTTGTTTCTCAGCCATAGCTGTTGTCCCTTCAAACAAAGAAGGAGGTTTTCAGATTGCTGTGCTGTGCCCCAGGAGTGTTAACCCCCTACACAAGGTGCTGCTGCTGGAATTCAGCTGTTCCAGGCTGAGTCAGAGCCAAGCTGTGATAACTGCTGGGTCAGGAGGATGCGAGTCAGTGCACTCAGGGCTCAGGGCTTGGCTGACAGGGAGCTGAGTGTACCCACAGTCTGTGGGCTGGCCCAGTCTCTGGGACCCACAGAAGTCTCTGATGTGGTAGCCATCCACTTCCCGACCCCTGCTCCTGGCATGCTTCCCTGTTGAATCAGGCTTGTCCATGTGCCAGCACTGCTGATGCACAGCCATCCTCCAGCCTGTGGTTTGTAATTCCTGTGCTCTGGTGTGTCCAAAGTCCTGCAGGAATTCAGAACGCAGCCACCAAGTGTTGGAGCAGGGAAAAACTGTTGCTGTCAGGCATAAATGTTCAGGAAAGGCTGGGCAAGCAGCCCTGGAGATCCCTCTGCAGGCAGCTTGTGGAAGTGGGTAGGGATTGGCTTGTGCTGGTACAGGAGAGGTTGGTCAGACTGATATAGGAAAATTGAACCCTTGAACAGGGGAAGTAGCATGTGGTGCAGAGCCCACTGCTCTCACGGGGTCTGCAGTCTCCCTTTCCCAGGTGGTGTAACCCACACTGCTGTTGTATCCTGCAGCTGCAGAAAACGACTTCAGACTTGGAGAAGACGCAGGAGGAGTTAGAAAGCACCCAGAAGGATCTGAAGAATGCAGACAAAGAGATCTTGGTGAGAATATCATTCCTCAGTCTGCAGTAACTGGCAGCTGGCCATGGCCTGCAGCTGCAAAGCCAGGAGTTATGCTGGCTTTTGCTCAGTGACTAAGTTTCCCAGCCCACTTCTGAGCTCCACCTGATGCTGATTTATGGAAAAGGGGCAAAGTATCTACTAGTAAATCTTTCCTTATCTCACTGTCTGCTTTCCCTTTTCCCTCTAGAGTTTGAAGAAGAAGATAGACATCCTGCAGGACACTCTGAAGGTCCCATCTGTAACCAGAGAGACACTCAGTCGCCTAATCTTTGAGAGGTTAGTGAGCTGCATCCTCAGATACAGGTCAAGGATGGTGGTCATGGGTCCAGAGCAGGAGCTGACAGTTTAATTAGCTGGGGAAGCAGAGATGTACTAGTCTAGGAGGTGTTGCAGTAGTATTGTTGTTTTGTTTCTTATATCCTTTCTCTTGTGGCTGACCTGGAAAAAGTGTGTATCTCAGAGGCTTTGGGTCAGGAGCAGGTAGAGGAATGGCCTGAGTTTTCAAAAACTCTTTGTTACTATATCCTGCCAGGGAAATATCCCTAAAGCTTCTCTTCTGGTTGCTTCAGAGCTGGCCTTCTGGGGAGCATGGCACCGTGTATGGGAACCAGAGATCTTAGCCAGGCAGAGGAACCTAGCCTGAAAAATGGCATCTCATGTTTTTATCCAGCCTTTCTTGTGAGGAGCCTGTGCCATTACCCCAGTACAGCAAGCTGGGCTGTGTGCACAGAGCAGCAGTGTGATTCCCTGGGCTCTGGGTGCTGCTCTTGTAGCGCAGCCCATTTGAGGGGGAACAGTAGTTTGGGGCATTGGCTTTAAACTCTGAGGTTTGGATTGTCCTTCCTTTGACATGCAGGCAGAACGGGGCTCTGCCTCTGGTCCCACTGTTGTCCTTGTGTGCAGCTCTGCCTTCCCTTCCCCTGCTGGGTGGCCCGTGGTGGCCCCATGGCTGACGCTTTTCCTGGCCTTGCAGCCCCGTTCCCGTGGAACTGCAGCACCCGAAGCTGCACCGCCCGGCCCACAGCGATGAGATCAACCTAGATGCCACTTTTGATGTGGACACCCCTGAGCATCAGCCCTGCACATCCCCCTTCAGCCCTGCAAAAAGGCAGAAGCTGGATAAAAGGCCGTGAGTTCCCCCTCCTCTCTCTGCTTCTAAAGGAGATCAAAGTCTCGCTGCTTTGGAAGTTGCTGTGTGAGATCAGATAGCTCTCCAGCTGCCTGATGGCGTGCTGCAAGCTTTGTCGTCATTCGCTTGGCCTTGTCTGTCCTTGCCTGCTCCACTTGAACAATAAATCTCTGCTGATTTGCTCCTTGGGCTTCTTACAGGCCTCCCGTGGTAAATCTGGCAAAGAAAGTTCTGAAGCAAACAGTGGAGGTAAAAGAACTAACCTTGATTTTCTGTATCTCCTCTTTGATTCTGCTGTTAATAAGCTTGGGATAAACGATCCATTTTCTCCATGTAGAAGGCACTGTGGTCATAGACCAGCCCATCTATAGAACCACAGTATGTGCTTCAAAGTGCTTTCCTTGATGGTCTCCTAGAAACACTATTGCTGCCTCGGGCCTCCTGGAATTGGGCAGGAGAGGGAGGGTGGAGGCCCACGTGCTTCTTGCTGATGATTTTACCCCAGGTGTGCTTGGCAAATACCACATGGAGCTGACCACAAGGGCTGGGGGTCAGCTGAAGTGGCTGTTCCCAGCCTTGCTGGGGGGCAGTGTCCTGCCTTCCGGGCACTGTTCCTCACGAGCACCAGTGGGAGGTTGGAAGCTGCTGGTTTTCAGCCTGACATGTGGTATGGCAGTAGCCATTATCCTAAATAGCTGTCTGTGTTATTAGTGCTGCCTGTATGTGGACTCCTTTACCCACCATGATCTCCTGAGTGGGCTTTTCTTGGGTTTTTTTTGTGGGACAGAACTGGGAGGATGATGTGGAGGATGATGCTCTTAAAGGACTCATGCCAGCATTCATCAGGAACTCTGCTCTCTGCAAGAAGCCATCTTTGGGCAGCTTGCTGGGTTCCCACAAGAACAGGGGCATTGTAAGTATGACTGTCCAGTTGGTGAGTGTGTCCAGGGCTGGCAGTGCCACCTCTGTCCTGAAGTGACCCTGCAGGAGGAAGCGAACCAGGCTTTTACCTTGCCACATACTGCGTGTGGAAAATAAATCTAGGAGCACAACCTGGCTACTTCCCAGTCCTCCTGCTTCCTGCAGAGCTCCGGGGATGACAGATGCTCATTCCCTTCCTGGCAGCAGACTAAGTGGCTCTCTCTGTCCTATTCGTCTGCCTCCTTGGAGCTTTGGGTGTTTTCCTTGTACTCCTCTGTCCCAGTGACAAAATCCTAAGCCTTGCTTGGAAGGCTCAGCCTGCCTCAAGAAGTGCCCAAAATTCCCAAACTTTATTAATACCCTTCAGTCTGTCTTTTTCCAAAGGTGAGGGCTTAGCACAAGTGCTGAGTTCTTCCAGGTGCTGTAACTCCTCTCCAAAAGCTGTGGTCTGCAAGGCTCTCCCTTGTCCATAACCAACACGAGGAGAGGTAGCCATGGCTCTGTGCTGCTGCTCCAGGCTCATTTGTTTCTCTCTTCTAGGTGAGGACAGGGTACGATGGCATGGGAGGCAGAACGAAGTTCATACAGCGTGTATCCTTTCCTGCAGCTCATGTGGCAGTAGGGATGCTGCACCTCATTTCTGTTCCTCCTCTTTGCTCTCAGCCATCTTGAGGACTCCTCTGCCCCCCAGTCAAAAAAAATGGACAAGGACCCTCAAGGAACTGTCTGATTTCTCTCTGACTCTGAACAAGTCTGAGCTCAGCAAAGGCGTCAAGGACCTGAACTTGCTGGGAGCACCTGTGGCTCGTTCAGGGGAGCACATCAGTTAGAAATCTGTGCAATTTGCAGGGACTGCCTGTGCCCTTGAGATCTTGGAGCAGCAGTGTGGCACAGCCTCTTCCTGGCCGTGTGCCTGCCAGCCTGTGCAGCTGGAGCCTTCATTCCTGCGGGATGCTGCTGCTCTGTGGTGAGGAGTGGCTGGGCTGAGCTCACCCTGTGGGTGTGGAGCTGCTCCTCCCTTGGGGTTGCTCCTGCAAGGGCAGGCTCTGGCTGCTCTGCCCTTCCCTGCACAGTGCACTGGCCCTGAGTGTCTTGAAGCTCAGATGTACACACTTAAATTCTGTTTTGTGTGCGAGGGGGTAGCTTAGAATCATCAAGGTTGGAAAAGAGCTCTAAGATCACAGAGTCCCCCAGCACTGCCAAGCCCACCACTAAACCATGTCCCTCACCACCGTATCTACGTGTTTTCTGAACCCTACCAGGGACAGTGATTCCACCACTTCCCTGGGCAGCCTGTTCCGATGCTTGACCATGCATTCAGTGAAGGCATTTTTCCTGATATCCAATCTGAACCTCTCCTGAGTGGGAAACATTCCTTGACTCATGGGACAGGTGCGTGTCTGAGCTCTGCTGCTGTGAAAAGGTAGCAAAGCCTTTGCTGTCCTGCAGGGAGTTTTTCCTTGGGTGTAGATAGATGTATGGGTCCTAGGTCTGTGGTTCAGGCTGGCCTGCAGCAGGTGCTGGATCACTTGTGTCCCAGGGCACTGGTCTGTGCTTTCCTTGACAGTTTCACCCCCAGACAAACCTGGCGGAAATCCGTCCGTTAGCAGTGAAGAGCAAGAAGAAGGTGTCCAGGCCAGCATCTGCAGCTGCTTCCACATCTTCCTCCAGCAGCAACCAGGCCAGACTGGACAGTTTCCTGCAGTGAAACCCCCTGGCTTCCTGGGAGAGGCTGGGAAGGGGCTGCAGGGAGAGCACACTCACCCAGAGCCTGGCACAAAGCAATGTGCAGCCACCACTGTGTGGGGGTGCTGTTTGCAAAGCACTGACGGTGCCTTGTGGGTGAGACAAGCTGCCCTCTGGATAATGCTTGGACTGAGTTACCCACCTCATTCTACCACTCCTTCCTTCTTTTTTCATGCAGAATCAACAGGGGGGTTTTTTGTCTTCTGGCCTGCTCAGAGCTCTGCAGTTGCTGCTGCTTTGGGCTCTCAGACATCAGACACCAGGTGGAACTGCATTTCTTGGATGCAGCCACAAGCTAGAGGTGTGGAAGGGGTATCTGGGATTGGGAGTCTGGGGGAGGAGCAGGGAGAAGGGACCTGGATCAGCTCCATGCCTGATGTAAATAGTTCCAAGAAAGTTTCCTGGAGGAAGAAGTGTGCAGAGCAGGCTGTGTTGCTGTGGAATGTGTGTATATTCATCATCAAATTAAACACCTTCCCTTGACCACAGGCCTGTGTGGGCTGGGGAGACCCACAGATGGGCCTGGGGGCTGTGCTGCCCTACCCTGTTTTGAGCCATGAAGTCCACTGAGTTCTTGCAGGCTTGGCACTGACACTGCTGACTGGGGAGAAGGGTGTTGAGGTGATGCCCTGCCCTGCTTAGAAGCAGAGATAGGTGTGCTGGTATGACCCCTGTGCTTGGCATGTGTTTGTGTGAAGCTTGTTTAGGAATTTCTATTTTTTTAATAAGACTGTAGAGTGGTTTTGTTATTTTGTAACTGTTCTGCCTAGCGATTTGAGGATTTGGAATGGCCTGAAGAGGTGCTGAGGAATGGCTCCCTTCAGGGGAGGGGGAGAGCGGTGGGGCTGAACCTGTCTGGGCTTCTTCAGCTTGAAGACATGGAACAGGAGCTCCCATCCTGCCCCCTGAAGCAGGGCTGTCCGAGCCGCAAGGAACAGACGTGGTGAGGCACCTAATGCAGCACTCTTGTACAAATCTGATGTTTCCCATTTCCAGCTGCTTCAGGCTGGAAGTCTTAGTTCCTGGACTGGCTAAAAAACGTGTTTTTAGGGAATAAAATATACTGCTGTGCACGCTTGTTAACACAAGTGGCTTCTGAGTATTTTCTACCCTGTGGAGGGCTGAGCTCGGGTGCTGAGTGCGGGGTGATTGATGGGCCTGACCCTTCAGAAACCTTTGTTGGCAGCTCTCAGGTGCCTGTGAAGCTCAGCCCCGTGGCTGTGTGGCTCAGGGTCCCTCCCAGCCCAGACAGCAGTGCCTGTGTGAGCTGGACTTGGTTTCTGTTAGACTGCTGCTCGATCTGTGGCTCCCCAGTGCTTTAATCTGATTTCTAGACAAAAAAATCATACTGGTCAAAAAAATCCCTATACTCCGACTGTAGGGAGCAGAGGAGCTGGGGCACATCAAAAGCAGCGTGATTAGCAGGTTGATTGTCCCCTTCTACTCTGCTCTTGTGAGACCTTACCTGGAGTGCTGTGTCCAGCTCTGGAGCACCAACATATGAAGGATGTTCCAACCCCTTCCACCAGGTTCAGAGGAGGCCATGGAGATGCTCTGAGGGCTGAAGCACCTCTGCTATGAAGACATGCTCAGAGAGCTGGGGATGTTCAACCTGGATAAGGCTCCAGGGAAACCTTAAAGCCCTTTTCAGTGCCTAAAATGGCTCCAAGAGAGCTGGAGAGGGACTTTGGACAAGGGACTGGAGTGACAGGACAAGGGGAAATGGCTTCACACTGACAAGAGAGCAGGGTCAGATGGGATATTGGAAAGAAATTCTTCCCTGTGAGGGTGGGGAGGCGCTGGCACAGGTTGCTCAGAGAAGCTGTGGCTGCTCTGCCACAGGAAGTTTTAATGGCCAGTTTGTACGGGGCATTCTCACTTTCCAGGGACTTGCTGCTTCTGGAAGTTGTTTCTGACGGGGTTTTGTTTTGGTTTATTGCACATACGTGTTGCCCCCACCCAGAACTGAAGCTGTTTCACTCTTCCTCAGTGATTTCAGCTCCTCCAAAGCTGTCTTCCTCCTAAATTACATCTTCTACACCTGCTGCCCGTGGGACGGCAGCAAGCTCCAGCCGCCGGCACTCCCTTGCCTGGGCTGGGGACGCGGAGCCGGCAGGGAAGGGGCAGAGGTGCCGTTTTTCCCGGTGCCTGTAGGAGCCGGTTTCTATTTCGGTGCGAGCAGAGGTGAGACCGGCCCCAGTTTCCCGTTTATTTTGGGATTTAGCGCGTGTGTGTTGACTCACAGCCCATAAAAAGCAGCCGCCGGGCTGTGTCGGGTCTCGGCTCCGGCGGGGCTGCCGCTCCCGCGGGCGCCTCCGGGTCCCCGCCGGGGTCCCCCCGAGGGGGTTCTCCCCGTGCCCCCCGGTGTGGGCAGCGGGGACCCCTTCATGGGGACACGCTGACACCGCACCGCTAATTAGCGTTAATTACCTGCGGCTGCGCTGTCCTTGTGCGCCGGCGGGGCTGGGGCGCTCCCGCGGGCACCGCTGCTCTCTGACGTCATGGGCAGCCTGTGACCTCACACTGAGAGGGTGCGCCCATTGGCAGAGCCCCGTGTGACCTCATGGGACGGGGGTGGTTGTCGGGGCTCCCTGTGATCCCCCCCGGGCCATCCGGGGGCTCACGGGCTGAGCCTGGAGCTCAGGGAGCTGCTGACCCATTGTTTGGGCCCTGTGATGTCAGGGAAGGGCAGCGATGGTCACGGGCTGGGCACTGGGGGACCCTGAGGGCAGGGAGTGGTCATTGGCTGGGGCTTTATCGCTGTGACCTCACTCCACAGCCACTCTGCTTACAGCACGTGTGACCTCACAGGGAGCCAGAGCCCAGCTGTGGGTGACAGCAGGGGACAGCCTGTGACCTCAGCAGCCAGGAGCGTGGGACATCGCAGGGAGCAGGACAATCATTGGCTGGCAGGGTGTGACATCCCAAGGCTATCCATGACCTCACAAGACCCTAGGACACTCATTGACCCTCAGGGTGTGACATCCTGGGGCAGCCCATGACGTCACGGGGTGGCAGGTGCTCACTGGCTGTCAGACTGACATCCCGAGGGAGGCAATGACCTCACAAACGCTTGAGGCACTCATTGGTGGGCAGGGCGTGACCTCTGGAAGGAGAAGAGCTCTCACTGGCTGGCAGGATGTGATGTCCTGGGGCAACCCATGACCTCATGGGAAGGCAGGTGCTCATTGGCTACCAGGCTGTGACATCCAGGGGCAGCACATGAGTTCATTGGTGGGCGCTGTGTGACGTCCTGCGGCAGCACCCGTGACCTCACGGCCGAGCGGGCCGCCCATTGGCTGCCGGGTGTAACCTCATGCGGGAGCGCGCGCCCATTGGCGGCCGGTCCGTGACGTCACGGCGGGCGGACGGCCCATCGGCGGCAGGCGCGAGCTGTCGCGTGGCGCCGCCTGGCGGGCGCGAGGCGCGGGCGCCGCGCGCCTCCCATTGGCCGGCGGGCGGGGCGGGGCGGGGCCCGGGGGCACGTGCCGGCGGGGCCCCGCGGGGCGGGCGCCGATTGGCCCGGCGGGCGCGCGCGCGCGCCGCGGCGCGAGCGGGCGCGGGGGCGGCGCATGCGCGGGGCGGCGCGGGCGGGCGGCGATGGCGGCGCGGGGCTGATGGCGGCGGCGGGGGCGGCGCTGCGCTGAGGGAGCGGCCGCGGTCCCGGTCCCGCCCGGCCCGACATGGGCAACGAGGCCAGCCTGGAGGGCGGCGGCGACGACGGGCAGCTGCCGCCCGCCGCCGCCGCCGCTGCAGGGCCCCGCCGCCGCCCGCCGCCGCCGCCGCCAAGCCGCCTTCAGCACCGGGCGGCGGCGGACAGCTCCCGCCCGCCGCCGGGCCCAGGTCAGAGCGGGGCGGGGGCGCGGGCGGGGCCGTGGGGGCTGGCGGGGCACAGGTGTGTGCGGGGCGGCGGGGCAGCTGCGGGGGTCGGGGGTGCGGGGGCAGCACAGGTGTGAGCGGGGCGGGCACGGGCACTGCAGCGGTGCCGAGGGCAGGGGTGCGGGGTGCAGGGAGTGGGGCGCAGCTGTTTCGGGTTTAAATGTCAGGGCTGGTGCAGCTGTGTGGGGTTTAGATGTCAGGGCTGGTGCAGCTGTGTGGGGTGCAGCTGGGCTGGGGGGCCGTGCGGGCAGGGGGTGCAGGTCTGTGGGGCACCTGCAGGCAAACACAGGCAGGCGGGTGACAGAGGGGTGTGCCGGGGGCGCACAGCGAGGGGAGAGCAGGTGTGGCTGCGAGGGGCGGGCAGCGGGGAGGAGGCAGGTGAGGAAGGTGCAGTGGGGCTCAGGGAGATGACAGAGCCACCCGAGGCAGGTCACTGTGGGAGGGTGCAGCCCCGGGGGAGCTGGCAGCTCCAGGACACTCGTGGGTGCTGGGGAGGGTGAGGGTGCAGATTGTGGCTGGGTGCAGGGGATGGACAGCGTGCCCTCAGGGACCAGTGCAGTGTTTGGGGGGCAGGAGAAAGCGGGGTGCTGCCCGCTGGGCAGAGGTCCAGCAGTGAGGAGAGAGGGGCTGGGAGGAGGGAGGGACCGTGGTTCATGGTTGGGAGGGTCTGGTCGGGGTGGGGGGACAGTGCCTGGTAGCACATGGCTGACAGCACCAGGGCGTGTGAGCACCCCAAATGTGGCCACCCCAAATGTGGCCACCCCAACCAGAGCCAGCACCAAACGGGAAAGGTTGTTATGTAACAGGAGGGACGTGCAGCCCTGCCAGGAGTCATCGGTGCAAAACCTCACGGGGAACCGCGTCGAGCCACTCTCCCTCTGCCAGGCAGCGCCAGCCGGGAGGGAGATGCTTCGGAAGCGGGCGTGGGATTGGAGATATTCCTTTAGAAAAAAAAAAAAAAAGTTAATCCTAAAATATCGTCCTATCTGCAAAAATATAAGATGAAGAGCAGAAAGTTGCATGGAAGGACGCGGGGGACTTGGTAGGCGCTTTGCCCTCGGTGCGTGGCGGCGTTCCGGGCTCCCCACCTCGCCTGGGCAGTGAGGAGCGCTGCCGGTGCTGCCAGTCATGTTGCTTTGAACGGGGAAAATCCAGGCAGGAGCCTGGGCGGTAGGCTACAGTCTCGCCTGGCGGTGGGTTCCGTCTCACTGGGCTGCAATTGCCACTCACAGGCGGCACCGTAACATCCAGGCAGGATTCAGGGATGCTACAGGGCAGCCAAGCCACGGACACACTGCTGTCTGTGAGATTTCTGAGAGCTTTCACACAGGGAGCGTGAAGAAATACCCCTGAGTGAAACTGTGCTTGTTTTCCTTTGCATTTTTCTCAGTTCCCCTCGCTAGAGAGTCGTGGATCTCTCTGCTTCAGGCTCTGCCAGTCAGAAGTTGTTTGCAGCTGCTCGTAGCAGTTTAAAATTAAATACCTGGAGGGCTGTTTAGGCCCTTGTAACGAGATGAGCCGAGGGAGCCATGCAGGTCTGCTGTCTCTGTCCGATTTTGACACTGCTCTACCATTGTTGCCGGGGTCTGTGTTTGCTGTTGTACAGGACTGGGGGTCCTGGAGGCTTTGGGGGTCCTGGAGCACACGGGGCTGGCGGGTGGAACAGCACGATCCGGCAGCGCCGGCCGACCGCGCTCGTCTCCTGCCAGAAACGCCAGGTTGTTTTTCCCGGCCGTGCTCCAGCCTTTGCACACTGAGCTGATGCTTCTGGGCCTCCTGGGAAGCTGCTGCCGGGGAGCTGCCCTCCCTTGCAATTAATTAAGGCAATTAAAGAGGTGGGCCGTATGGGGCTCTGCTGGGATGGGGACGGTGCTGAGCTGTGCCAGTGGTTAAAACCTGCGCGTGGGAGGGGTGTGGGGAGCTAAGAGCTAACACTAAGGGATTTTAATTCAAGGTAACAAAGTGGAAATGAAGGAAAAAACAGGCCTCGAAAAGAAAGTCGTCTTTGTGAGGTGCAAGAGTGGGCACGTAAGATAGACCAGATGCTGTGAAAGGTTTAGCACAGCATGGCTCGTGCTGGCTGAGCAGCGAGTGTGCGGTGAGAAAGGAGCTGCTTCACAAATCCCAGGTGACCAGGGAAAGTGAGTTTCTCTCAATGTCTCAGCAATTTTTTTTTCCCTCTGAATTAAGTAACCTAAATCCACACACA